AACAACTCTGTCCTGAACACTTATCATAGCTCTTTCATTTTGGTTGCTTACTTTTAAGAAGATTCTCCCAATACTTGGTTAGTTTTTTTAACATTCTCCCAAATTAAACAAAGTCTATCTGCAACTTTTTTGATCTACAACCCAATGTTTTGAGCAAAATGCATAAGGAAAACACTCACATTCAGTAACTGTTACAAAATCAGCTCTTCTAGCCGAAGAATCAAAAAAAAGGTTGTATGATGCTTTCGTTAACTTCTTTATATTCCATTTAGCAGATTGAAAACCTGATTTGAAACCATATATTAGATAAAGGTTACAGCTTCCAACATTAAGAAGTTTAGGTAGCTCTTTTTGATCATGCTGTATTTCAAGAAGATTAAGAAAGGGCCAGTTCACATTTGTACCTTCTATACTTAGTTGAGTCATACTTTTAAGTAAATTCTTTGCTGTGGAGTGACCTAAAAATTTAGAGTCAAAGTATCTGGATTCAACATAATTTAGATGGCTGTTCCAAAACTGAATATTTAGATCGAATTGGCCATTTCTAAAAGAATCTTTTAGACTTTCATCAAGTGAAAGAGTATAATAAGGAGATTTTTTTATATTTTCAGTTAAAAGTCTGTAAAAGTAAGGCCCATTACCAAAATTAATTATATAACCAAGTTTTGTTTCACTCATTACATAAGATTTAGCAATATTGCTATCAGGGAACATTTTCTGGTAAAGTAGGCAATTTTCATTACATGAGTTTAATGAGAAATTATTCTGTATTGCATTTAAAACAGAGTAGATTTCTGTACAACTTTTATCACATTAATCTACTGTTTAAAGTGCTTGCTTTATAGATGTATGCTGTGCAGGCAAGATACTGGCTTTGACTTTGATGCATGTTTTTTGCCATCCAAAGACTTATCATAACTCTTCTGCAAGTTTGACAAATTAAATTCAACTTTTCATATTTTGCACTTGGCAGACTTTTTTATACTGCCTATTACCAGCCATTTTTCAAACAAAGGATCACTTAACCATTTTTCTTTGAATTGAGTTGCAAACATTGAATTAATGTAAACACAATATGATTAAGTTTTTTGTTAAATGTTAAACATTAACCCTGGTACCCTTAAATTGGTAAAATGTTAAACATTAACCCTGGTACCCTTGAAAAGTAAGATTTTTATAAGAAAAAATATCAAAACATTAAAAAAAAATTAAAAAGTTCCCTGATTTTCCCTGATTTTGTCCTAAATCAAACATTTCCCCCTGATTTTCCCTGATTGTATCTAAATTTCCCTGACACTTGCAGAAAGTTAAAATCCACACCTAATAATTATTACATAAAACACCAGAACCTAAAAAAGTAAAAGGTTGTCTAGTTGTTATAAAAATTAAATCAAACATCAAAAAGTCAGTCGCAAAGAAAAAAATTACAACACTGCAAGATTTTGTCAGAGTCAAATATTGCGTATTTAATGCATTGTAGAACTTTAATTTTTGACAATTTTTAGAAAAAATGTTTTTAATCAGAAATTAACATACTTTTTTGACACTATCAGAACTGAAGCTAAAATCTTTCAAATAATATTTCAATACATTTTCATTACAACTTTACAACATATTAATAATGATAATTTTTAAAACAAAAATGTAGGTTGGTGCTAGTATATATTTAAAATGCTTGTCAAAACTTTAATGATAATTTCACATCTCACAGTGTAAATTAACATTTACAGCAAGAAATATACTAAATTCAATGTTATCCCATATAGAGGGTAACATTAACAATTGCACACCAACAACAAAATCAATTATTTGTCGATAATACCACATGACTAATTTAACTTTTATTTTTATCAGTTTATGACAGCAATATCATTTTTTTTTTCACATAACAAATGAAATGGTTGGCCCTACTGTTTTTAAATTAGGACATAGAGGACATTTTTTGTTTGTCGATTCATATAAGTTGTTTCGATTTACTGTTAACATAATCTAACTTAAGGACCTATAAATTTAATAAACTAACCTTTATTTAACTTACAATTCAACATCAGATATTTATAGTCTTTAAATGGTTACAAATAGTTACAATGACAAGACGATCTTCCTGACAACCTTTCATCTAAAGTAGCTCTTTTTGCTGATGACTCAACTTTATACTCCTGTCTTGACAAAAAGTCTTCTCTTTTTGACCACCTAGAACAAGCAGCTGATCTTGAATCCGATCTTACTTCAGTAATAGATTGGGGTTCACAGTGGCTTGTGAATTTCAACGCTAACAAAACCCAGTTGTTTACTGCAAACAACTACAGTAATATGGTCAACATTCCTATATTAATGAATGGCAATCCTCTTACTGAGTCCTCCTCTTTACATCTTCTTGGATTATCGCTTACTACTGACCTTTCATGGAAACCATATATACAATCGATTGCTAAATTAGCTTCTGCTAAGGTTGCTTCTCTTTATTGTGCCCGCCATTTCCTTACTTCTGATTCCATTCTCTACCTCTACAAATCTCTTATTCGTCCCTGTATGGAATACTGTTGTCATATTTAGGCTGGTTCTTCTAACGATTCACTTTCTCTTCTTGACAAGGACCAAAAAAGCATTTTAAATGTTGTTGGACCTGGACTATCTGCTAAGCTTGAACCTCTTTCCCATCGTTGTAAAGTTGCATCTCTTTCTCTTTTCTACAAATACTATCATGATCACTGCTCAAAGAAGTTATCATCTCTAGTTCCATCAATTAAAATTCATTCTCGTTTTACTCGTCATTTAGCTCTCATTCGTTTACTGTATCTGTCCCTGCATGCTCTAAAAACTTTTTTCCGTCTAGTTTTTTTCCCCGCACTTCAATCCTTTGGAACTCTCCCATCTTCATGTTTTCCTGACTCATACAACCTTAAACTTTTCAAGTCTTCAGTCAACTGTTTCCTTGCTCTATAACTCTGTTCTTTTTTTTCCTAGTAACTCCCAACTTAATAGTGGTTGCTAGCAGCCTTGTTGGGAGTGAATGCAAATTAAAAAAAAAAAAAATCTAAAGAAAAATTAGATATCGTTTAACTACTAGAGACATTTTTTTTTTGAATCTTCTATTCATTTTATAAGATTTTTATTAGAATACAGTGTATATATACTGGTATAAAATTTGACAAAAAAAAAAAAAAAAAAAAAAAAAAAACAGATAAAAATTTTGGTTAAAAAGAGTAAAGCATTCTTTCTTAAAAACTATTTGTTATATTTGTTTATTATATTATACCTATACACCCATTTAATTCACACCTAAATAATTACACCCATTTAATTTCATTTTTAGGATGAGACTATAAAGAAGGGCTACATTCAACTAACATAGCTTACACTTATAGTGTTTTCTGGGGATAGTACAAGTTACCTATATACTTTTATAAATACTTTTTTCTAAACAGGATATAAGAGCTCTTTGGAAAATGAATAGGTTTAGGGAAAGCAATCTGGTTAGAGCAGAAATAGTCATTGAATCTGTTAAACAACACACATGGTTTCTGAACCCTTATTGTACATCTTATATATATATATATATATATATATATATATATATATATATATATATATATATATATATATATATATATATATATATATATATATATATATATATATATATATATATATATATATATATATATGTATATATATATATATATATATATATATATATATATATATATATATATATATATATATATATATATATATATATATATATATATATATATAAAAGCAAATCTAATGTCAAAAAGCAGCGTGAAAGAGCGTTTACTCAGGAAGTTCACATCTTTTTAAAATAATGTTAAACTAACAAGCTAGACAAGTGGTAAATAAGGTCCCAATCTATCGTAGGTAACCAGCTCACAAAAAAGCTATAAAAAGCTTATATAATAGATAAATTAACTGTTGCAAATAAATAACATAACTTTATTTTTCATTTTTACAAAAAGCTGTAGTCTATGTATGGGTGTTGACTAATAATTTCATTTATGCAGCATTTAATATAGTTTCAGTCTATTCATACAATATTTGGTGCCATGTTATCTACCAATCCTGCAACAAGATGCAGGTTCAGTTGGCAGGTTTATTAAAATATGTTTAACAAAGCTATTATTTAATTTTAAAAAATACATGTTGTATTAAAGAATTGCTTTAAGAAATAAACAATTTCTAGACTTTTTCAACTAGATCCCAGCAACTACAGGACAAACTAACTTTTGCATTTAATTCATAACAGTTAATTCAAAAAAAGATTCTGGAGTCTATCATTTTAGACCTCATTACTAGATTCTAGAGTCTATCATTTTAGACCTCACAGGCTGGAGTTGAAAAAATTGATGGACTTTGCTCTTAACATAACACAAAAGAAAAATAAAAAAATAATAAATAAAATAAAAGAACACAACATAAATAAATAAAAAATACATTAAAATGCATACAGCAAGCCTCGGCAGGTAGCGAGAGCTTTAGCTCTCTCTCTCGCCCACACTCCCTTAAAACGGTTTACGGGAGCAATTTACAGCTCTTGCAAAAGTATTTTTTTTTCTTTTAAAAGTATAATTATCATTGTAACTAAAATGTAAAACATAAAGCCAAAAAAATTTAATTAATTAGATAATAAACCGGCAAGGTTTTTGCAAAAAAAAAAAATTTATGCATAAAGAATTTTTTCTCGGCTCAATAAATGACGTTTGTTATGTGTATATTATTGTAACATTAACACTACAAACATATGCTTGTAACAAGTATAAAACGAAACATTGTATTTAATAACCAATTTTTATATAAATAAACAGATAGTTTGTGTAAAAACCAAAAGCTCTTGTGAAAAGCAGTTTAGTGGAGTAGCTCACATGGCTTGCCATGTTCATTTTAGGAGAGCTTTTCTCAGCTCTTGCGCTCATTTACTCCCGCTGAGGCCTGATACAGCATATGGAAACTTAAATATGCAGCTATAATAAATAATTCACCTTCTGTGATAGGTCCTGATGGGTTATAAGGAGATTCAAAGACAAACAAAATCTATGAAAACAAATAATTCAAATCTATGAAAATAAAACAGTAAATTTAAGCCAACAAGGAGCATACTTAATTGATCATATTACTTAAATGAACTTTAAACCCCATTCACACCTATATCATATAACTGAGATGTGATAGTGGTTACATTTAACAGAGCCCATTTTTCTAAGAAAACTACATCATTAAAGAATATCCTCTAAAATAAAAAAAAATAAAATAAAAATAAAAAAAATTATATTTCATAGACCAATACCTACACAAAAATGAAAAAATCAAAAATGAAAGTTAATTTTTATGAAAAAATTTTGTTTTCTTACTTTGTTTTGTTTTATAACATGAGAAGCAATGTCACGAGACCCTGTTTCTAGTCCCCTATAGCAAAAAGGTTCAAAACCAAATCTTGTGCAGTAGTAAGAGGCAGCCTTTAATTAAAAAATAATTATTTACATTAGCTATATATCTTAACACTTGAGTACAAACATAGTTTAAAAATGTGGCACATTGTCATTAATTGTATAATAATTCTATTAATAATTTGTAAATAATAAATAACATTAAATTTTGATAACTGAGCTGGAATTGAGGCCTAACCCTTAATATTAAATATCATAACATTAAATATGAGAATATAAGAACTTAATAATATTTAAAAAAATTTAAATAATTGAATATTAATTATAAAAAATCAGAATCTTTGTACCTGTTTAGCATTTCCAACCCAAAATCGAATATGGTCAAATGAAATAAACTTACCAACTTCTGGCTGAAATGTTAAAGTACATTATTTAAACAGTCTAGTCAAATTTCAATTTTAATTAGTTTAACTGCATCTATTATAATATAACAATTGTAAAATCAATCTTGTTCAATTAATCTTAAATAATCATTTACTTTCAATCATATAAAACTTTAAACAAATCTAATTAACTATTAAAATTGCAAATATAATATCTAATATAAAGAAAACTTTTAAAACATTCAAATTTAACCTTTTCTCCTTTGTCCTTATATGAAGTCTAGAAACAAAAAAATTTTTAAAATCTTTTAGGCTAAATATATAAATATATGTGCATGATGCTAGAATAAAGATATCATGCATACATTATTTATTTGTCACATGCATCATGCATGTTAACATAAAAATATTTATAAGTATGGATAAAAAGTAATTAATAAATGAGCAAGAAAAAACTAATACCATTATAATAGTAAGAGTCACAGGACCAAACTTCTAATGCAATAAGTCAAAATAATGTTAATAATTGTGACTAGAACATAACAATAAAACAGAAATTCATTAAAAATAAATTCTTCAGGTAATACTAATTTTTTTATTTATTTATTTTACTTATACTTTATTATTATTATTACTATAATAATAATAGCAATAATAATAGCAATAATAATAATAATAATAATAATAATAATAATAATAATAATATATATATATATTTATATATATTCATATATACATTCATATATATATATATATATATATATATATATATATATATATATATATATATATATATATATATATATATATATATATATATATATATATATATATATATATATATATATATATATATATATATATATATGTATATATATATATATATATATATATATATATATATATATATATATATATATATATATATATATATATATATATATATATATATATATATATATATGTGCAAAATAATCATAAGCATAACATTTTGTATCATTTTCTTACAATACTTATATGTAAATATTTAATAATTGTTAAAATGATAATAATTATTTAAAATAGTATGCATATCAGTATGCACTACTGGCAATAAATACTTAAAAATGCAATTGTGCAATAGTATTGCACATTTAAACCTATTTACGTGTATAATACAACTGCTTATAAATACTTAAAGACTAATTAAAAAATGCTTAAGTAACGCAACAAAAAATTATCCTATTTCATGCCTAAACAGCTGTTTTAATATCTTACAACGTGTTTTTTTTTTAGATTTCCCTAAAAAATATATATTGTTACCACGGGGTGCTATTTTTAGCTTTTTTGTTACAAGTTCCGGCACCCTTTTTCTCACATTATTTATACAAATATCCTTCTGTCAAACTTTTTTTACCAGTGTCTTTTTTCAAAAATGTCAATAGTATTGACGTATTGACAATACAAGTGGGTATATTTACGCTAAAAACTTTTAGCAACATCACATTAAGTCCTTGTAAATTACGATTGATACTTGACGGTTGTCAAATAATAACTTTACTAAAATTATCAATCTTAAATTAATCATTAAAAATTAAGCTGAGCCGAAATTTTAATTTTACCATGTTTATTTAAATAAACCATACAAACAATAAATCTAAAAAAAACTTAAAACGGCTAAAATTATGTTAAAAAATTAGTTACGGTTGAACTATTTTTACTTTTTTTAGGGCAAATCAAACTTATATTTACTATTTATTAAATGAAATCGATTTAAGTATTTGTACATAAGCTTACTAATTTTTATTTGAATAAAATTTGATTTTTACATTAAATTTACTGTTATAAAGCTACTTATGTATATATTTATACACGTCTAAATTATTTTTTAAGGATATTGGACGCAGCATTTTTGCAATGTAATCCATTACGCAAATAACTAATTAAAATGCTTTAATTAGCTATAAAAAGGCGACTTTTAAAATTAGATTTTCTTAATCTTGAAGTATAAACGAAACTATACATTTTATTTAACTATAGCTAAAAAAAATAGTTTATATCAATAGTAATATATGTTAAATAAATTGTTAATAAAAGTGACGAAAGCTTTAATTTAAGCTTTAAGATAAATATAAAACTTCATTAGGTAGATATATAGGCCGGTAAATAAAAAAAAAGCATTTTTTTTTATTTACCCGGCCTATATATATATTATATATATTATATATATATATTATATATATTATATATATATATATATATATATATATATATATATATATATATATATATATATATATATATATATATATATATATATATATATATATATATATATATATATATATATATATATATATATATATATATATATATATATATATATATATATATATATATATATATATATATATATATATATATATATATATATATATATATATAAACACCGTTTTTGGTGTTTTGCTCAGTTTTATGTGAATAAAAATGTGAGGAAAATTGCTCAATTTTTTATTCTCGTAAAGCTGAGCAATAACTCCAAAAATGCCGATTAAAAGGTTTCTTTTTTTTATATTCACCCGGCCTTATATCACTAATAAAAGTACTTTGACGCAACACAGTAAACATGTACAAATTTTAGACTTAGACCTGTAAACCAAGCCCACTATGAAAACTTACACCAAATAAAGACTCAAAAACTAGTTTTTGTTCATTTTGTTTATAATAAAAGTATAATATAATCACAGGTTTATATTGTGTAGCTGGAAATTATTTTCATGAATAATGCATTTCCAGTGGGCACGGGACGTATAAAAGACGCCTTTTAAGTGCTTTTAGGGTCCTGTGCCCAATGGGTCAGAATGAATCAAAGATTATAGTGTGGTCTCTTAAAACTTCAAAAGTAATTAAAGTTTTAAAATATGTTGTCATTTTTATTTAGCATAATAAATGCAGTCAGATTCTCTGGCTTCAATATTCATACAATCCATTGTTTGATAAAACCGATTACCACAACTTTGCTAAAGCAAGCTATTTTAAAAAAACGTGAATTTCAGTTCAATCATGCACTTATATAAGCATATTATATGGCAGTAAATGCGACGGTTTTAAGAAGCCATGGTACAGTGTTTTGTTCACCGGTTTCAAAAACAAGAGGTCTGAGGCTTCTGACGACTACTAAATTCTCATTAGCAGTCCTTTATGACAAAACCATCAAGTTTTCTTAATACCTAGATAACCAGGAAAAAAACCGTTTAAAACACGCAAAAATTAAGTATAAATGAACATGATGTTTCTTGTATAACTGCAAAACTTTTAAAATTATAATGTCTTACTGTCCAACATAGTAAGTAACATTAAAGATAAATGTCTTTAAAAGAGCAAAAACGTGGTTTCCGCTTGTAGTTAAAAGTGTACTGAATCAAACTTTAGTTTCTCATCATTATCATATTTTATTATTTTCATTACCTCCATTAATATTTTATTCCGTATGCATTGAAAACATATCTTTTTAAAACCATTAACATTATTCTTTAATAATAACATCAAACTTTATCCTAAAGAAATCTAAATGAAAATGCAAATTGTACATCTTGATAGACATTCTACACCTCTAGCATTGGTATACTTTATGCACCAGTGACCGGATCATACAGCTCACAAGCTATAACTCGCTTTACCTTAACACCAAAAACTACAGACAATAAAAGCTTCAAAAAAATTGATTGTTTATATTTTAAAGCTTTTTTCTGAGTAAGTCTTTACAAATATGTTGAACTTAACTTAATGTAGAAAGGTAAAAACCATTTTAAAAAATGCAAGCTGCTTATACTTAACATTATATTCTCCAGACTGCAGATACTCAAAAAATGGACCGGTATCTACGCCTTGAGAAAGAAATTCATGCATTGCGCTTAATTCCATGTCTGCAACCTTAAAACAGATTTTCCAGTATTGATCTGCAGCATCTACAAATTATATGTGGAACCTGTGGTTTATGTTAATCACCCAATATAATTTTATAGTATGGTCATAGGTAGCAAAGTATTTAGTATCAAGCGTTATGTTGGCCTTCTCTTATTTTAGTTCGTTTGAATAGCCGCTTACATGACAAAAGAAACTACTTTCCGTAAGTAACCTGAATTTGTTATATAGCACAACACATAAAGATATTTAAAACCAAAATGTAAGAAAATATATTGATTAAAATGACATCGTAAAACTGGTTGGATCACTGAGATCAGCGACCCTATGTTATGAAAGAAACACGAAAATATTCAGCCACACAAAAGTTTTGTCACGTATTATTATAAGCCAGTATAAATAAAGGAATAATATGTAATTTATTATAAATTATGTTTTGGCACCGAGTAATAACCTTTACCAATATTACTGTTTAGCTGGAGCCTGAAATGTAAAAACTCCGTATTTAGCCGAGATACTGTCATTTACTATTCACAGCTGCAGTAAATGATAACGACGGAGGCGTGAATTTCCTGTTTAAATACTCTTCAGCGGTTACGTTAATGACTAATTTAAAAATTGTCAATTTTATCGAATTAAAGGTGTCCCAAGAAGACTTAATAATTTTATCACAGAGCACCACGGAAAAGCATTTTACCAGTAAGTTTAAGAAGAAGGAAGACCTAACAGTCTTGTCACAGAGCACTTATATAAACCAGAGAAGATTAAAAACTAAAAGAAAAAACAAGATTTTTATAAATGATCAATATTTACTTTCTTAAAACATTTTAAATTTAACTTTTTGGGTTTTTAAATGGCGTTTTTTCTCCACATGGTGTTTTCATAGTCACACTGGCCATGTCACAGAGCGCAGCTCCTACTTTTATTTAAAAGTTAAATATTATCAATCAATCATAAGTACGTGCAAAACGCACGTATCTTTTACATTCGTGCGTGTAAACATTTTAATGCAGGAATGTTATTGCATGTTTTGTTTGCAAATGCGCTTAGATTTAACTGAGAGTTTTATTTTATTTCTGTCTTTGTGATAATAATTATATGGCGTTTATACTCATTTATACAGTTTTAAAGCGCTTATTATTTTGTAAAACAAACACATTAAAAAACGTGTAGTGCTAAAATGAAACAGTTTAAAGTAAATTCAATAATATCGTTTACATTAGATAATAATAGACATTGACCATTGTCGCTTAACCTCGAACGTTGTATATTAACATTACATGCATAACCTTATTAGTTTATTAAACTTTGTCATTTAATAAGCTTAGTTGCTAAGTAAAGTAAAAACTTGCAGTATTTAAACGCGCATTATTGCTGAATACAGAGACGATTAATAATTATCATTCGAGCTGATTAAAATAATTTTGAAGATTACTCGTCCCACCCAAAACCCGTTAGGCGACGTCTATAAAATATATTTTGCTTATCCTTGTTGTTGGTATATTCAGATAAGACCTCGTCAATCCATTGTGAGTCGGTATATCTTTTAACTTAAAAAAAAGTTCGTTACTTATAAGCCTGTACTAGAATAACAAACTTAAAGCTAAAAATATTTTTTTATTTAAATTCATTATTTTACTTAATTAATTTTATTTAATTTATTTCAAAAAAAATTAAGTCATTAAAATTAAAAACAATTTTTAATTTTATTTTTAATTTTTAAGTCCATATTTTTTGCGACTTAAATTATTTAGATAAAAAAAGCACGAAAAGTCAACTTTGCACTGCCATTCTTAATTTTTGTCATTTTATCTTAATTTATCAAAATGTTGAAAACAATTACACAATAAACCAAGTTTTGGAATTATGCAACAAATTTAGTTAATAAATTCAAAAAATCAGTAGGTTTATCAGCATGGACCCAGTGTCCAGCATCAGGAACTCGTTGAATAGACGAGTTGGGAAATCTTTTTTTAATTAAAGGATAGTCTTCTTCTCTAAAAACAATATTTAAAATAAGTTAAAATAAGTTTGCACTGCGCTCTCTACCATAAAAATCCGGATTTTGACAACCCTACTAGAAATTAATGTTTATGTAATAATACATAATAAGTTCAATCACCCAGAAAATAATACTCACGTGATATATTGAGAAAGACCTCCAGCAATAAATAACGTCGGTTTTGAAAATGTGACATCATCGCGAAATTCAGGAAATGACCTTTTTGTCGAATAAGTTTGAATGAGTGCTGGTAAATTACATTTCCAGGTAAACTGACCTTGACTGAAATCAAGATTACCCATCAAAAACTGTAGCACTTGCTTAGACTACAAAAGCAATAAAAATATTAAATAATTATAATACCATTATAATTATCTATCTATGTTACTAAGATACCATTGTAGTTATTTAATATATTTATTTAACCACAAAATTGAAAAAAAAAAATACAAATTTATTAATAATTTTATCAAATTAGGTACGGTGTCACTCGTATTATTAAAAACTAGTCACCTTGATGAAATGAGAAAATAAAGCAAAAAACAAACCGACAAAAAAAAGTAATATAGATAGAACCAAAAAAAAATCAATAAAAAGAACAATAATATTTAAAAAAGCAAGCCAAATAAAACAAAAATTGGAAAAAAGTGAATAAGCTGACATAAGAGAAAGGAATGAATGAGGGGGGTTTAACGATCAGCAGGATGATTTTTAATTATTACGATGAGATAAAAATTATGAAATCACTTGAATAATAGAAACAAACATAAAAAGCGACAATAATAAAAATAATCAGCAACAACAACACCACAAAAAAAAAAAAAAATACAGGTCAACTTAAACAAAACACTAATGTGCACGTCAATATAAACGATGCACAAAATTACAAGACAGTATAAATAAAACATAGAAATACACGACAATATAAAAATACACAAAAATACACGATAATATATAACTTATATTTTAACCTATTAAAAATGACAACAGATGAATTTACTTAAGTAAGAAATGGTTTTTCATTGTCAAAACATGAAATAAATTTCAAAAAACTGTCTCTCTTTCTCTCTATTTTTTTACAATTAAATTACTTTTTGCAATTTGGTGTTTTGTTTAGTTTCTGGTTCCTGGTATTTTATTATTTTTACTATTATTTTTCTTGATTGTTTTTTTTGTTTTAGACCCATGAAAGGACAGAACACCAAAGTGATTTTCTAAAATGCATTGTTTATAAGGTGGGTAATGATACTGCAAAAAAAATAGTTCTGATGAAAAAGTTTAGGGAATCGGAGACAAACAAAAACAATTCGTGTTAAGGGTAGTCAAGCACCATAGAAAAGTCAATCAAATAAAAGAAAAGATTGCGTCTTATAAAATTGATTAATAAACTTGACTTTTTCACATAATAGTAATGCCTGTTAATCTGAATTTAGAGTTATTAGTATTTTAAGTTTTTGATTATTTATTTTTTCAGTAAATACATAAAAAAGGTAAAGAAATTCTATCTGTTGACTAGCCTCGAACCCCTTCTTCATCTATTAGGCTGGCACAGATGTATTTTTAGTACATTGTTTCCAGTTTAGGATGTTGAGTGCTGGATCTTCTTGACTCAATGCATGGTTTTTAATTGTGTCTCTGTTTTTATGACTAGGCAACTCATTGCATTATTTTCTATTGAGGGTACAGCTCTAAAACTCACTTTTATAGTTCTGACGCTGGCTGGTAGTCAGGTTTCCTCTGTGGTAGCTCTCAAAGAGACTGTGGTAGCTCTCAAAGAGGCTGTGGTACTCTGTGGTAGCTCTCAAAGAGGCTGATTCCATCAACAGCTGTAAAATATCAAAGCATTAAAAGTGCCATGTTGCACATGTATGGTGTCCCTGTTTGTACTTTTAGTGAACATTGTCAAAGCCAGATTTGGAGCCCTTTTTTATAGCTTAGGATTTATTAATAGTAATGAGGCAACTGCTTGGGCTATTAAACAATGTACCGAGTACTGTCTATGCTTTGAGTCAAGTTCTTTAACAAAATTAAAATGAATAAAGTACCTAAAACTAAAAAACACAAAAAACCATTGTCATCACCAAGTTCTCTAAAAGTTCTGTTGAGTCTTATCTCTCGCAAAATTCACCAGACCTGCTTGCTTTTTGTGAGACTAATTTGAGTACAGCTGTCTCATCTTGTGATGAGACAGTGTTGATGGTTGTCTTCCTTTAATTTGTAAAGACTCTAATAGTCACATACTTGGCTTGGGCATTTACATTCGTAAGAATTCACCCATTTGTCGGGAAACTAGGTTTGAATCCACAGACTATTCTTTGTGCTTTCGTTTGTGCTTTCGTTTAGCACCACTTCACTTTATCACCTTTCTCTTTGTTCTATACTGCTCCCATTCATCTCAAGACTGCACTCTTTTCGATGTTGTTTCTAATCAAATTGACAAAGCCCTCTCTCTTTTTCCATTAGCCAAAATCGTTGTTGTTGGTGACTTTAATGCTCATCACACTGAATGGCTTGTCTCTAGTGTCAGTGACTCTGCTGGCGTTAAAACCCTCAATTTTTGCCTTTCTCAACCCCTAACTCAAGTTGTCCACTTTCCAACTCGCTTTCCAGACAACCCAAATCATTTACCTTCTCTACTCAACTTATGTCTTGTTTCTGATACAGAAACAAGACATAAGTTGTTATCAGCATAACAATTCTCCAGAAAACAGATGCCTGTTTATTACTGCTAGAAACCATTGTAAAAAGGTTTTGTCAAACGCCAAAGCCCGCTATTCTCAGGTCATGAAATCTTGTCATAAAAATTAGGCTCTCGTGACTTCTGGAGAATCTTTAACAGTATCAATAATAAGGGCAAATCTGTTGTTCCACCTCTCTTGTATGGTACAGACTTAGTCACCTCACCTAAAGGCAAAGCTGAATTGTTTGTTAAGAACTTTTCATCAATATTATCTGTTGATTCCACTAGTTGCACTCTACCTGATTTTGCCGTCAAATAGATTGATCCATTGCTTGACATTCGTATCACTCCAGCTTCTGTATCTAAAGTGATTTCCTGCTTAGACTCTTCTACAGCTTGTGGTGTGGACAACATACCTATTATTGTCTTGCAGAAGTGTTCTCCGGATTTGTCATCTATATTTTCTAAACTTATTTTTAACAAGTGCTTATCAGTCTTGTTTTCCAGCCTGCTGGAAAGCGGTATTTGTTATCCTTATTTTCAAAAATTCTGGAGAGCGATCTGATTTGTTTAACTACCGCCCCATTAGTCTTCTTCCTATCATAAGCAAGGTTTTTGAATCTTTAATTAACAAAAACTTAATCTCTTATCTTGAATCTAATAACTTACTTTCTGATCATCAATATGGATTTTAATCTCCTCGTTCTACAGCTGATTTTCAAACAGTAATAACCGATAGGTTTTATCGTGCATTAGATAAAGGTGGAGAGGTTAAGGCCATCGCTCTTGACATTTCTAAAGCTTTTGATAAAGTTAGTCATACTGGTCTTCTCTATAAACTTTCTTCTTACGGTGTATCTGGTAACATCTTTAAAGTTATTGAGTCCTTCCTTTCCAATCGTAGTATAAAAGTTGTCCTTGATGAACAGCACTCTTCTTCGTATTCTGTAACTTCAGGGGTTCCTCAAGGTTCAATCCTTGGTCCTATACTCTTTTTAATTTACATTAACGATCTTCCAGATATTCTTACATCTAAGGTGGCATTGTTTGCTGATGATACTACCATTTATTCTTGTCATGATAAGAAGCCAATACTATCTGATTGCTTGGAGAGGGCATTTGAGCTTGATAAGGATCTCACTTTTGTTACAGCATGGGGCTCACAGTGGCTGGTGAATTTTAATTTTTATAAAACTCAATTTTATTCAGCCAATTGTTATCGCAATAATTTAGATCTCCCTATATTTATGACCAGTAATGTATTCAATGAGTCATCTACCCTTTATCTTCTAGGATTAACTCTTACATCTGATCTTTCTTGGAACCCATATATCAAATCTGTTTCAAAATTAGCATCTTCTAAGGTTGCATCTCTTTATCGTGCTTGACAATTTCTTACTCTTTTAAGTAGTCTGCCAATCGTTATCTTGCTCTGAAATCTTTATCTTTTCTCTTCCAGTAACTTCCAATCAATAGTGGTCGCTTGCAGGTTTGTTAGAAGCGAAAATTAAAAAAAAAATAATCATAAATTTGATAATTCCATACGTTTTTATAAGTGTTCTATCTATGTTTGCATAGAGTGCACTATCTATGTTTGAGTCAAGTTCTTTCTAACAATTACTGTATTACTATAGGCTGTTTCAATTTCTAATTTCAGAGTTGATGAACATTATCCTTTGATTAACACCAGCAGGCAATGAGGTCTGTAAGACTATACTATCTTAAACATCTTTAAGACATCTATACAACATTTACAGAAATCAGTTTGTAGGATTTCTTTAAGATGTTCAACAAATATATCAATTACATTTGCTCTTTGTGCCTAGCCTTGGTTGTGTTCAGTTCCTCCTTGCTCTTCTTTAGATGGTTTAGGAAAATCATTGGGTTAATAAATTTTGTCTCTCTAATGAAAACTCCAGCCCTAATGTAATCTTCTGGATTAAGGAAGACATGGAATCTTTTATTCCTTCTCGTCAGTTTTATCATAAACCTCACTCTAGCCCATTCTCCTTCTTGTGCAGTTGCTATTTCTAATCATAAATATTTCTTTCATTTTAACAAGAACAACTCTCTTGAGAACAATTCACTTTTTATCATTGCAAAAAATTGATGAAAAAAGTATTGTCTGAGAATAAAATTCATTATTTTCAGATTACTAATATATTTTATCTAATCTTATTTATTTCTAATGATCACACTCATCCTATCATTCCAGAGAAACCAGTTGGTCCACTTTTAGATATCAGAATCGCTCTGGCTTCTGTTGTATGAGTTAATTCTCGCATTCAATAGTTTGCGGTCTTGACAATAATCCTGTCAGTTATACACAAGCGTTCTCCAAGACTCTCTAAACTATTTAATAAGTGCTTTACTGAATCTTGTTTTCTTGGTTGCTAAAAATAACATTTTTAATTTCAATTTTCAAACACTTTTTCATTACAGTAACTTCTGGGGTACCACAAAGTTTCATATTGGTCATGTGCTGTTTCTCGTCTAAATTAATCATCTTCCAAATAATCTTCTAAGGTGACTCCATTGGTGAGATAATACTCTAATCTTGTCAAAAAATCATCACTTATGATTGCTTAGAACAGATATCCAATATTGAATGCAATCTTTCATCTGTGACAGCTCTGAGCTCATAGTGGCTGGTAAATTTTACCCTGACAAAATTTAATTGATTACTGCTAATAATGATCACAACATTATTGATATTCTTATATTAATGAATGGCAAAACTTTTAATGAGTCCTCTATTCTACCTTTCTTTATTCTACCGATTGTTAGGTTTTAAAGACAGATCACTGTATTTTATACGATCATGTGATAACTAAAAATCTGGACAAAATTTTATATTACACAACCATAAATATGCAAAATTATCAATAAAAAACAAGCATTCGTTATCATAACACAAATACAAAAAAATAGCTGTTTGCTCGAGATACTATAGATTTTTTTTCAAAATTCACAACTACAAGACTATTTAAAAATATTGAATATTTACTAAAAAAAAGCAAAACCTAATATGCCAGAATTACGTCCAATTGAAGATTTTTAGTTAGAAATTAAAATATTGGTTTACAATAAAAATTGGCAGAAAAAATCTAGATAAACTTAAAAAACTGATAGAATTTTCAATCAAGAAAAATCATATAAAACATGTACATTAGAGTTATGACATTTTTGCAACCTCATATGGCCATGGTATTGTAAGGTGACTTTTAGTATAAAAATACTGAAATAAACAATTGTTTATGATTTTATTTCAAAAACCTTAGACAGGATCAAAGTTTTGGAATTTTGTTATATATATATATATATATATATATATATATATATATATATATATATATATATATATATATATATCACTTTTTTAATAAAATAAACATCAAATTGATTTTTTCAGCAAATTTACAATTTATTTCTTACACAATTTCAGCAAGTAGTTCACGTCAGTCTGACAGAAAAGTAGCAGAAAAGCAAGTAAGGCATATAACGCTCTAGAGTTCCATCTTGTCTTATATTAGGTAATGCTTTAAAATTAATAAAGGGAAATAACCCATGTTATTGATAATATCAGTAAGCATTTCCTAATTCATATAAAAACTGCATATCGTCACGCCATTTGCTTTTAAATTTGATTTTTACATCACTTTATCAAAAGTCATTTTTTAGATTTGCATAGTTGTCACTTACTTCTGACATAAAGTAATATGATATATTGAGAGATGTTGTCTTTCCACCAAGATTTTAGTCAATTGAATGCTTTAGGACTAAATCCTAAGACTAAATACATGTTGACCTAGTAGAGTACCTTTTTCTTTAAATTTTTGTTGGATCAGTACAGAAACTTTATTTCTCACTATTGACACTTGTGATATCACAGATTATAACTTTAATGTTTTCCCATAAACGGTATTGGTTTAACACCTCAGTTAATCCATTAAATAATGTTAATGCTTTTCCATTACTAAGAACTAGTGCTGCTAGGCGAACTTCATGGTGCTGATTTTTTAATACAATAACTTGCATTTTTTGCTTGTTAATTTTTGTACCATCAAAGTGCAAAGCCCATTTTCAAGATTGAAAAATCTGCTACATTTTTTGTTGTTCTCTAACAGATGCCTTATATATAACAGAATGAATTGGTGTAGGGATATCAACACCTTAGTCAGATATTCACAAACTTTTGATGATTTAAAGGAACTTAAATTACTCTATTGCAGTTTATGTAGTATATTATTGTTTGGTCTTAAGTGCTTAAGTTAAATTTACAAATGTGTTGGATATTAAATAAACCAGATGCCATCTGTTTATTTAATATCCAACACATTTGTAAATTTAACTTAAGCACATTTTTTATGGTATTTTAAAAAGTATCATATCTTTTAATTAATCTATATAATCATATATTTTTATTTTCCATTGATACCATATATTACCATTGATTTCTTCTTCACTATTGATTTCTTCTATACCATTGATTTCTTCTTCACTATTGATTTCTTCTATACCATTGATTTCTTCTTCACTATTGATTTCTTCTATACCATTGATTTCTTCTTCACTATTGATTTCTTCTTCGCCATTGATTTCTTCTTCACTATTGATTTCTTTCTCACCATTGATTTCTTCTATGAGTGGAAAATTAAATTTTCCCCACAATTTATTCAATTCATTAGCTATCACTTTAACTTTGATATTTCTTGATTTTTCATCTTTTGCAAAAAATTGATACCTTCCAACAATTATCATTTCTTTTAGAATTCTAGGTAAACCATCAAGTGGATCATTGATTGATGGTAACAATTTTCTTTGTGTGACACTCTTTTGGTATACTGTTTTACCAACAACTACAACAACAACAAAACATGGAAGTTTTAAGTGTTTTTTTGAAAATAGAAGAGAAATACAAAATAGTTGAATAAAGATAATATTAAAAATATGTAAAAAGCCAACTAATAAAAAACAAAGACATTATAGTCTTTTATCTTGTCTGTAAAAGATTACAACACGATATGTGTTGTAATATTTTAAAGACAAAATAAGAAAGATTAATCTTCCTTTTAGAGACAAAATAAGAAAGGTAAATCTTCTTTTTATAGACAAGATAAGAAAAATTAATCATCCTGTCTGACTTCCTGTAGAAAATATTTGATAACAAACTTAGGAATATACCAAAAGAAAAGTTTTTCAAAAACTTAAACATGCTAAAAACGCGATTGAATAAAAGTAAAGCCAAGAAAAGTCAAACAATAAAAAAAAAAAAAAAAAAAAGTAAACAAAAACAATTAAACTAGAACAAAATTCATTATTCCGCTACTAAATATGAAAAAAAAGTTAATGTACAATTATTAGAAATTTTATTTCAGTTTTATATATTGAAGTTGTTTAAAAAATTTTTTTAGTTAATTTTAGACTTTAAATTCATTTTAAACCATATTTTTTACCCAATTGGTTTTGGTAAAAAAATTTTATTGAATCTAATGACTCAAGTTTTATTTAAAACAGTTTCTAAAGCATATAATTATCCAATCACTACAACTTGCAACGTGCACATTTAAAATATGATTAGTAGAAAAAAATGGTTAACTTAATCATCAGATTTGAATTCAATTGAATCAATTTGCACTTGAATATACAAAGAACTTTTTTTTTTAATAAACATCTTGTGACCATAATTACAACAATTTAAAATATATGTACACTCTATAAATATATGTACCTCTACACTCTATAAATATATGTACCTCTACACTCTTTCCTAACTCTTCTTCGATTTCTTTTCTTTTTTTCATGGAGAGTAGATCAATGTTGCTCATAGCATTCATGTATTTTAATATCTCTTTTAAAGATTTTGGACCAGTGGGAGCAACATCAACAACAACTAATTTACTAAAATCACTTGGATTCATAAGTGCTGCTGTCATGACTAACATACCTCCCATACTATGTCCTAAAAATAGATTAAACCAAATGAAAAATGGTATACGAATGTAAATAATTTTTAATTTTTAATTTCTTTTTTACGATTTTACGATAAGTTTTTTTATAAAGGTGTTGGTAGATAAAATTTTTTAACTTTAATCCATAAAATAGAGTTTTTTTCTTAAAAAATTAATTTCTGAATTTTTTACATAACATAACACATATTAAGAAGAAAAAATATAGTGGAGTTTTTAATACTCAACAAGTTTAAACTGTATTAAAATAAATTGTGTATATTCCAGGGATACAAAATTTTATTAATTTTTTTGGCTCCAGAAATCCAGAATCAAAAAAGATGGACTTCTTAAACTTTGGACTCTGAATTCTAAAGAATTATTTTTTATAAAAATAAAACTGTGACAAATCATACTTTGGAATCCGCATTTAATAATGCTCCAGAAATGCATTTAAAGCTTTTGATATTGAAACAACGTTCCAATGTCACAATTTGTTGAATCATTGGAAATCATATTAATTAAGCAAAATGTTAAGTATAAGAAATGACCTACAAAACACAACAATTTAACATTTATTTTAAAACTAATATAACCACCAAAATAAATTAGATTTTGTGCATAAAATGCAAAATGCTTAAAATTTTACATAACTACGAAACTAAAAAATGAAAAATACAACATGTTTTCGTTATAAATAAAACTTACATATTTTTAAATATATAACAGTTGAGTGTTTTTAAATAAATATGACCTAAGAACAATGAATAAAAATTTAATGAAAATGAGTGAAAAAAACTTAAACCAAAATAACCTAATACAAAAATAAAAAACAAATTTTAGATGTAAAAAAAATATACTAAAAGCAAAAAAAAAAATTAAACATTAAAATAGAATTTGTTAAAATACCTAAAGGTGTTTTTGATTATTTGGTGGAATATATTTGTGCAAAACAAGTTTTTTAAATTTTCAATTTCAGTCATATTTAAATCCTAAAAAAAAAATTGTTGGAAAGTTTTGACAATGTAAAGTTTTTACTCTAATAAATTAAACAGGTTCATAACGTTCAAACATTAATTAATTGTAAAAATTTATAAAAGCTGCAATGAATTTAACTTAAGTATAAGATAGTGTAATGATTCTAATTTTTTTTTTTGATGCAAAACCTTCTCATTCTACACAAACACAAACATACTTAAGTTTAAAGTTTGCAGAAAGCTCAATAATGTCATCATAAGACTTTAAAAAATCATGTTAGTGCCCATTAGCAGCATGCCGGTAAATCATTTTGATTTAGAGTACTCAAAATTAAATTTTTATGTGTATATATATATATATATATTTTTTTTTTCAGAAAATATTAGGTCATAAAAAAAAAGCATTTAACTGCTATTGTGAAATAATTTTTTTGTTAAAGAAATAAATTACTTAATAAAATTTTTTTTAAATATAAAAAATTTGTAGTAAATATGATTTTAAAAATTAAAAATTTAAATATAGTTTTGAAGGAAAATAAAATAAAATAATAACAATAAAAAAATCAAAATAAAACGGCAAAACAAACTTTGAACACCGAGTATTAACCTTTTATATTATAAAAAAACAAAACAATTAAAATAAGTTCTAAATAAAAAAATCAGTGACGTATCCAAAAGACAGTGATATATCCAGCCAAAATGACATCCAGGCTGATTTTGACACCAGTATTCTAGTTTAGACGCTAAAATTTCATTCCAAACTTAACTTAAAACAATTTTATCTTAACAATAAGTTTGTCATGAAACAAGTCAAAATATAACGATTTTTACTTATTGTCTGCTTTTATCATTAAATCACCCAACTATAAAATTTTTTATAGTCAAACTTTAAACCACAAAAGTGTTTTTTTATTTGCTGTAATAAAAACATTAACTTGTTTTAAAATAAGTTTAATGTACGATTCTCCTCCACATTGTAACTATAATTATTAACAATGCGAAAACTTTATAAGCTTTGAACTTTCTATTATTTATCATTAAATAATAGTAAAATTGCAGTAAAAATGTAAATAAAAGGTGTTGAATGCTAAAATAATTTTAATTAAAATTTTTTAAAACTTATAATAATTATAACAATTGCGCTGAAAAACTTAAGTGTGAAAAGTAAGCAAACAGCAGTTTGAAAAAAAATTAACTTTTAAATGAATTGATGACCTTGTTATGCTACAAATCAATGATTGCAAAAGTTAATATAAATAATGAAAAATCTTGTCAAAAGTCATTTTTTAAAGCATTTGCACACACACACACACACACACACATATATATATATTTATAATATATATATAATATATATACACACACACACACACACACACACACACATATATATATATATATATATATATATATATATATATATATATATATATATATATATATATATATATATATATATATATATATATATATATATATATATATATATATATATATATATATATATATATATATATATATATATATATATATATATATATATATATAGTATATATATATATATATATATATATATATATATATATATATATATATATACGCACATATATATATGTATATATGCATACATATTTTTTTTTTCATAAAAAAGACAAATTTTCTAATTTTTATGATGACTAACACTAGTCATCTTCAGTTAATATTAAATATTTAAAATTTGTTAAAATACCTCAAGGTGTTTAAAAAAAATAATACAAAATATAACTATTCTTGTAAAAACTAATAATAATATAATTACGAAATAACAATAAAATCAGTTAAAAAGTTTATTATGTCCTTACAAAAGAAATAGGAAAGAACAAAAGAATAGGTTAAAAAGATATGTAATATGTATAAAAAATAGCAGCTAAACAGAAAGTGTCATTTGTACATGGTTAACCTGTTTATTCATACCAGGTTTTAACCATTCTATAAACATACATTCTTTAAGTTTTAGCTCAAATTTGTTAGATGCCAAATCTAACACAGAAAAACACTTATCATTTATTTGCATGAAACAATTTTCATTAGCATGGGGATGTTTATAGATGTGAGACATTTTGCCTATATAACAGAAGTTACATCCTGCACATACAAAATTATACACCACGAACTATTTGAACTCTAGAGCAATAGGATCTTTAGAAGAAAAGAATTTTGAAATTTTCAGTGAGATAAATACTAATTTAATACTTGCTGAACTGCAAAATCTTTTAGCAATTGAATTCAGTCTGCTAAAAGATATTGCGGTTCAGCAAATTAATAATTAATAAATAAATTAGTATTTACCTCACTGAAAATTTCTAAATTCTTTTCTTCTAAAGATCCTATTCCTCTAGAGTTTAAATCATCTGTAGTGTATAAAAACACTTTCTGCTTAGCTGCTATTTTTTATACATATTGCGTATCTTTTAAACCTATTCTTTTGTTATATGATTGATATTAACAAATTTCTTTGAAAAGTCTTTATTAAAGAAAAATTAAGTAAATTAATAAAAAAAATTTATAGTGACTACTACTATTGATAAGTGACTACTACTATTGATAAGTGACTACTACTAATTTATCATTGTTTTAAGAAAGTTTAAGAAAATTGAACACTATTTTGTAAAATATATTTTGTAAAAACTTTAAAAATAATAAACATTTTATGAAAAACATTGAGAAAAAAATTTTTAATAAAAAAATCTTGAAAAAAGGCACTTTTTTCATTTTTAGTTAAAAACTTTGAATTGCTATTATGCAATAAAATATAAATATATTTTATTATAAAATGATTATTAATTTTTAAATTTTCGAATAACTTTCCTTTACTTGAGATCCAACAAGACATACTTTTAAAAAACTTTCTTTAATAATATTATATTATTAATATTTACCCATTTAATGTTCAAGGGTGTTGTGGCACCCCTAAAAGCATTTTTTATTCAAAAAATTTTAAATCTATATAATTCCCTTATAATTATTAACATTTAAAATCATCTCATATAAGCTTAAATTTAATGATGCAACTATTGCAGCAAAGAAACCAATTAATATAAAGCATTTAAGGCAAACAAGAGATTCATTTACATTTAAAAAATAAAATAAAAAACCCAAAACTCATATAACCAATCTTTGTTCAGCTAATAAACTCATAAAAAAATCTTTAAATATGATCTAAGTAGATGTTATTTAAAATATAATAACTTGTGTCTCACCAACAAGTATTGATTTCTTTATTTGCAGTTTTTTCAGTAAATTTTGTAGGTCATACGCCATTGCTTCAAAGCTCATATCAGAATGGTGTGAACTAGACCCATGATTCACAGAATCAAAAGCAACAACCTAAATATTAAAAGTACTATATAAATTATATGTATAGATGTTTAATCTATCATAGGTAATTTGAAGTATGGCTGGATTAGCTAGGTATGGTTCAGGGATAAATATTTTACGCTGTTTTCTAGAAATATTTGACTCTATTGTACTAGAACATTCAATACTTAGAAAACCATTGGCATGTGTATATATATGTGTGTATATATACTTGTATATGTTAGTTTTTTTTTTGTCATTTTTTATACATATATATTTTTGCAGCCCTATGTATTTTTTGATGTTTGACGTTGTAGTGGTTTTTTTTATTTTTATTTATGTTTTATTCTATATATTTATCTTCAAAACGCCGGTAATATATTATTCTAAACAAGCCTCTTCAAAACGCCAGTAATAATAAACGCAATTCTGAGGTAAAATTCATTATCATCACTACATAAATTATGACTACCCAAAGCAGTAATGTTTTTTCTTTATCTTTTGCAATCATTATATATTTATTCTCTTTCCTATTGCTTTATATTTATTCATATTGTAAAACAAGAACTTTTTAATCTCCAGAACTTTCTGTTACTCTTTTTTTTTAAAAACTTGAGAGATCCTTCTGACCAACTATTTTCTAGTAAAGTTTTCATACTATTATTATCAAAGTCTAAATTAAAAATCCTTAATTAAAAAACTTTTACTATAGTAGGATTGGGGTTTGCATTCAGGTACCCTAACTTGTATCTGAATGCATACCCCAACATGTATCTGAATGCATTACATTCAAGTAGGTGTTGGGGTTAGCTGTATGGAGAAATGGTTTGAGCACAGTACTTAGATGCCATGAAAGCACAGTATTTGAGCACAGGTTTGAGCACAGTAATTACAAAGGCATAAGGTGGAGTTAAACCTTTTGATTGTGAGCTGATTGTTCTACCATTAGCTTATTACCAGAGTTATCTCTGATGGAAGTAATAAAACAACGCTGTTATACTGGCAAGAAACAACAATATTCAAGTGAAATCATCTACTTAATATGTGAATAATATAAAATCCTGATTTCCATGTGATGAAAGTCTGAATATATATATATATATATATATATATATATATATATATATATATATATATATATATATATATATATATATATACATATATATATACATATATATATATATATATATATATATATATATATATATATATATATACACACATATATATATTAGCAAAGAAAAAACAACTTTTTCTATGGTATTTTAAGTTTCATGCCTATACGGCAATCATCAGCCATTGAATACAAAATCAAAAAGAAAAAACCCGCTAAAAATTACAAAATACTGTGTAGTGGGATCTTAACATCGCTAAGACACACTTGATGGAAACCAAAGAAAAAACAAAATATTAGCTAATCACCGGTGTCAAAATATTATAAAAGAAATTTATTCTTGCGTGTGCATTTTGAAATCAACTTATTTCGTTTATTTAATAAGTTATCACTTTATATGATAAAAAAAGAAATTTTTCGAATAAGCCAATATTGCAAATTTTTGACGAGGCGCTATAAGTATTGCAACATTTTACAATTTTCATTGAAGTACCATAGAAAAAGTTGTTTATTCTTTGTTAATATATATATATATATATATATATATATATATATATATATATATATATATATATATATATATATATATATATATATATATATATATATATATATATATATATATATATATATATGTATATATATATGCAGTAAAACAAAAATACCATTCTACCAGTTAACTCATTTATTCTTTTACACAAAGAACGCCAGTTTTTTTTAGAACCAAACAACCCATGAGAAACAATAATTGGATCTAGATTTGATATCGTCTGGTTGTAAAGGTCATAATCCAAAGTAACATCTCTACAAAACAAAAAAACATAATACAATATGAGTTCTCTGCAAAACATACAGAAAAACAGTATATTAAAATTTTATTTTAAATAACACTCTTTTTATTTAAATAATTTTCTTATATTTGATGCAAAAAGCCCATAGAGAAATATATAATGCTAATAGAAAACCTTATTTTGGAGGTAAAATAAACAAACAAACAAACAAACAAAAGTTCAGAATTTTAGTTGATTTACATATTTTTAGTTGATTTATTTTTAAGTAAATCTTGATTAACTAGCAGAACATCTTATACAACAAAAAAAAATTATTTAACAAAGATTTACCTAATACTTTCATACCTAACATTTAACAATAAAAAATTGACTGCAAATTAAATAACATACATACAATGATAGGCGTATAGATAGGCATAAGAATAGAAAAAAAAAAGATTAAGGCTAAAATGTAAATTATGTAGTGCTTAAGTAACACACTTCTCCTCAAAACGATGTCTGTTATTACTGCAGGGTTGCCACCATTATTTAGGAACGAAATTCCCTGATTTTCCCTGATTTTTTTGGCCAAAATTTTGCTTTTTCCTCCCTGATTTTCCCTGATTTTTCGCTAAAATTTTGCTTTTTTCTCCCCAATTTTTCCAGATTTTTTCCCATGAATTTTGCTTATTTCCCCCTGATATTTCCAGCATTCAAATACCCAAACATAACATTTAAACTTCTCCAATAACCCCAGAGCATTTTTACCTCTAAAAAAAACAGATACTATAATCCCCCAATAAGTAATGAACTAATCAATTTGCTTGAAAATTAAAATAATCAAATACTTCAATCAACATATAAAATTTTTCTTTGAACCAGGGTAAATTTAAAACAGATATGTTCAATAGGCTTTGAAAACATGTCAGACTTATCTAGGGTACAAGATAGTTCAAAAAAATGTAATCAATGTAATAAATTTCTAATTGTATGTTTTACATACATCTTTTAATACTTTTTGATTTTCTTTAGGTCACGATATTTCTTGATCTATAAGCATTATCACGCTATTTTCTTTTGCTTGGAGTTTTTTATTTTCCTCCTAATAGTTTTTATATTGTAATTAGGCACTACAAACAGCATTTATTATTTCATTGTTTATTTCTATTTTGTGAGCCTTCAATTTGTTTGACACCATAAAATCCTTGATAGTGCAACAAGATATAAGTGACATTCCATTCATTTTTTCACTGAGCATATTACTGGTAATACTAAAACCTCTCTCAATTGCCCATGACATAATGTAAAAACAAATATCAAAACTTTTGACAAAACCTTATAATCTACACAAACTTTAATGGTTTCAAAATAAAACTTGTTTAAAAAATTTCCAGTGTGAAAATATTTGAATACAAGTAAAAGAGTAGATGAACTTTCCTCTAACAACTTTAAAAGTTGTATGAAAGCTTGTTCACATTCATTTGAAGTAATATGTGAGCACGAAAGAACTAGATGTAGTACAGATTTCATCTGATGAAGAAGATCAGCTTTTTGTTTAGAAAGATTTGACACTGGACTAATGCAACCAGTTGCTTTCAGAAAAGATATTTGATTCAAACTTCTTTCAAATATTTTTTCCAGAATTCCAATGATAATGAGACGTACTCTTTTATGAAACTGTTGATGAAATCCTGAGATAATGCATCCTTTTTCCTCAATTCGATTATGTCATGTTTTGCAGCAAATTCAATTGTCATTATTATTGCAGAAATTTTTCCTTTTTTTGTAAAACCATATTTTTGAAGTTGCCTGCCATTAACGATGCTGCTAAGGACATCTTATTTTATAATTAAACCCATTAAACTTTTAATAGTTGAGAACAAACCTTCAAAAAGAAAAGGAATCATTGGGGCATTGCTTTGATATTTCAGTAAGTTTTTCTGCAACAAACTTGCAATGTAACCAAAAAAGTTCAATTTAGTCAAAGTAAACTCATCTTTTGTTCCCCCGAACCAGAGTTGCTAGTCCTTGGCTCTGACCTAAAGGCTAAACACTGAGGCCTTTGCCTTGGTCTTGGCTTTAAAAACTGTTGGCCTTGGTCTTCACCTTAAAAATTTTGGCTTTGGCCTTTAAAAAAAAAGTTTCTTATTGATTTCGTTTAACTCTGCCCATAACCTTGGTCTATTTTTACAAAATGTGGTTTTATTGTCACACCACTTGCTATTTACAGTTTTGTTAATAATTGGCCTTAAACTCTTGGCCTTGGGTTTGTCCTTGGCCTTGTAACCTTTGGCCTTGATCTTGGTCTTGATACTTTTGGCCTTGTTAACAACTCCCGAACACTTGTCATAGTTCTTTCATTTTGGTTGCTTACTTTTAAGAAGAGTCTCCCAATACTTGGTTAGTTTTTTTTACATTCTCCCAAATTAAACAAAGTCTATCTGCAACTTTTTGATCTACAACCCAATGTTTTGAGCAAAATGCATAAGGAAAACACTCACATTCAATAACTGTTACAAAATCAGCTCTTCTAGCTGAAGAATCATAAAAAAGGTTGTATGATGCTTTCGTTAACTTCTTTATATTCCATTCAGCAGATTGAAAACCTGATTTGAAACCATGTATTAGATAAAGGTTACAGCTTCCAACATTAAAAAGTTTAGGTAGCTCTTGTTGATCATGCTGCAATTCAAGAAGATTAAGAAGGGACCAGTTCACATTTGTACCTTCCATACTTAGTTGAGTCATACTTTTAAGTGAATTCTTTGCTGTGGAGTGACCTAAAAATTTAGAGTCAAAGTATCTGGATTCAACATGATTTAGATGGCTGTTCCAAAACTGAATATTTAGATCGAATTGGCCATTTCTAAAAGAGTCTTTTAGACTTTCATCAAGTGAAAGAGTATAATAAGGAGATTTTTTTATATTTTCAGTTAAAAGTCTGTAAAGGTAAGGCCCATTACCAAAATTAATTATATAACCAAGTTTTGTTTCACTCATTACATAAGATTTAGCAATATTGCTATCAGGGAACATTTTCTGGTAAAGTAGGCAATTTTCATTACATGAGTTTAATGAGAAATTATTCTGTATTGCATTTAAAACAGAGTAGATTTCTGTACAACTTTTATCACATTAATCTACTGTTTGAAGTACTTGCTTTATAGATGTAGGCTGTGCAGGCAAGATACTGGCTTTGACTTTGATGCATGTTTTTTGCCATCCAAAGACTTATCATAACTCTTCTGCAAGTTTGACAAATTAAATTCAATTTTTCATATTTTGCACTTGGCAGACTTTTTTACACTGCCTATTACCAGCCATTTTTCAAACAAAAGATCACTTAACCATTTTTCTTTGAATTGAGTTGCAAACATTAAATTAATGTAAACACAATATGATTAATTTTCTTGTTAAATGTTAAACATTAACCCTGGTACCCTTGAAAAGAAAAATTTTTATAAGAAAAAATATCAAAACATTAAAGAAAAATTAAAAAATTCCCTGATTTTCCCTGATTTTTTCCTAAATCAATCATTTCCCCCTGATTTTCCCTGATTGTATCTAAATTTCCCTGATTTTCCCTGAATTCCCTAATTTGGTGGCAACCTTGTACTGATGTTTTGAAGAAGCTCAACACTAATAACTAGTTTATCATCATAGTATCATACTCATCCCAATTTATGCTTTAGCCCACAATCTTAAAGTGAATTGTTCCATAATGCATTAGAAAAAGACTTCACAACGCTAAAACCCAAATTTGTAAAGCACCAATATTTTTGAAGAAAATATTATAAAAAGGAGAATGATAATTAGAATAAATTTAAAAATAAAAAATAACCCTAATAATAATAAATAAATCATCAAGTTTCAATAAATTTCTATTTTAAATTCACAACACTTGCTTTAAGCAAGGAAAACATTTTTTGCATGAAAAACTACATTATAAACTATGTAATAAATAAACGAAAGTAAGAACGTTGCAAAATAAACCTTGTTTGAAAATTTGTACTGTAAGAATGTTGCAAAATAATCCTTGTTTGAAAATTTGTACTGCAAGAATGTTGCAATTTCCATGTTTGAGTAAAAGGAAGCAAAAATTTAGCAGAACCACGAAAAACTATTTTATTGAAACTCATTCTTTCTTAAAAATCTGTAAATACAAGATGCAGATAACAATTATTTTATTATATAATAATATTTTAAAACTTCGCAATATAAAAATTTATTATTATAACTGTTGTTAATCTTATTTTTATTATTACAAGCCGATAATTTTGCATAACTTTTGAGAATAGAAATTAAAAATTCAAGCAAAAATTATTTTCCTAACTTATGTTAACACTTAACATATTACACTTTTACATCTTATTTTTATATACTTGTTCTGTATCTTTTTTTATATTACTTATTCATCTAAACAGAACCATACAACTTTAAATCATAAATAATAATTCTTCCAAAAAAGTCTGTAGTATTTAAAAATACAATCTTCACATTGTCTGTAGCTTCATTGCATTCCTCTATTGAAAACTTTTGAACAAAATTAACATCCTCAGGATACAGGGAAAAAAGTTTAGAACTGCAGTAAATATTAAATTGTTGACAAGAGAAACCACCTTGAAATTGAATGGTAACATCTGTTATCATGACAGGTTTTTCAAACTTTATGCAAATATGTTGAGTATTGCCCTAAAAATAACCACAGACAAAAATTAAATCATCATGATTATGATGATGATCATCATTTATCAAAATTCATAAAATTAAAAAACCTTATCAGAGTTCCAACATGTATCTTCATTATTATCAAATAAAAATTTTTTCCCATACTGTTTGTGATCTTGATTCAAAACTGAACTAACTGATACTCCACTTATCAAACTATTTAAAAGCATTTTTTTTTATCTTTTAACAATAGTAATTCAACAACATGTATGAGCAAATAAAAAAAGCATGTAAACATAAGTTTAAATATGAATGTTAAATAATTACTAAAATATTATAAAATAAACAATTTTATAATATTTATTTAATTACTTTTAAAAATTGTAAAAAAATAATATAATATATATATATATATATATACATATATATATATATATATATATATATATATATATATATATATATATATATATATATATATATATATATATATATATATATATATATATATATATATATATAAATACATATATATATGTAAATATATATGTGAAAAAAAAAATATACATATATATATATATATATATATATATATATATATATATATATATATATATATATATATATATATATATATATATATATATATATATATATATATATATATATATATATATATATATATATATATATATATATATATATATATCAACGCTTGGAGTTAGGAAAAATGAGGTTGGCAATAACTTGCTGACCTCAATCTTTTAGAGGTCAGCAAAAAAAATTGATACAAAAGTCTTGCCAAAAAACATTTAAACGAGGTTGGCAATTTTTTGCTGACCTCAAATACTTTTAGGTCGGCAGTTAGGTTGGCATTGCCAAATGCCGGCACTAATTCCGAGGGTTGATATATATATATATATATATATATATATATATATATATATATATATATATATATATATATATACTATGAATGATGGAAGATTAGAGCGACACTATATTAAAAAACAGAACAGCCTATCTTTTAGCAAAAAACGGAACTTTTCCTAATATAGTGTGGCTTTGTAGCGCTACAAAGCCAATGATATACATTAAGGTGGCCCTTAAAACAACGTATAACAACAACCTGCTCCTACCCCCTAAAAGTGTTCTAATACAAAAACACTAGATTTAAAATTTTTTTGAATAAAAAATATTTTAAGGGGTCCCTCAAGACCCTCGAATATTTAATGGTCCCTAATAATTTTCAAAAAAAAATTTTCTCAAAAATATGTCAACCTGGTACTCAAATGAAGTGAAATTATATAAAAATTTTAAAAATTATATTAATTTTAAAAAAATTTTAACTTATTTATAAAAATTATTATAAAAAAAAACATAAAAAATGCATTTTTTGTTAAAAAACAGAATTTTTTAAGTAATAAAACCAAAAATAACAATTTTTTTCAAAATGAATATTATTTTTGAAATTTTTATATAATTTCGCTTCATTTGAGTACCAGGTAGACTTATTTTTGAAATACGTTTTTTTTGAAAATATTAGGACCCATTAAATATTCGAGGGTCTTGAGAGACCCCTTAAAATATTTTTTATTCAAAAAAATTTTAAACCTTGTGTTTTTGTATTAGATAGAACATATTTAGGGGGTGGGAGCAAGTTTTTTTTCCAAAAAGTTGTTTTAAGGGCCACCCTAATATACACATATTATTTATAACTCATTTACTTATTATACTTAAATTTATTTACTATATAATTTATATACTATAGTTTTATTCTATAATTTTTTTACTTTAAATAATGCTGTAAGTATAGAATAGATATATTGCTATTCTTCTATTCATAATAAAATGTTTGTAACTTATTCACCCGCTCACACACCTACCATTCCACCAAAAAATGAGAAAAATAGTCAATAAAACTTATATTTAATACTATGATTAGTTAGAAACAATAAAAATAAGCTTACAATTAATTAAAATACAAAAATATGAAAGTCTTTTTTTTTTTAATGATCTTTCAATGCAAAATATTTTACATTATAATTTATAAATCTAGAGTTTTAACAAAAGATGAAAGTAAAAAAAATATTTATAAAAAAAGTCTTTTCATGACTTGAATCAAAACCATGTGGCATCTTTCAAATGATAATTAGATAAAAAACAGTGTATAGTGAAATTTCATATTAAACTTCATTTTCATTAACTTCAATTTTTTCCTTCATAATTTAATTACACAATAAAATGAAATTATGTTTTACACAGACACGACTTTGCTTCAGCAGGATTTTAAAATGCATCACCAATAGGTAAAATTACAATTGAAGAGAGTAAAAAAGAAAAGAATTATGTTTGAATCAGCAACAACCAGATTTCTTTTTTTGTTTGTTTTTTTCTAGTTTCATTCCTCCTTGAGAATGCTTTTGTTCTAATACTTTACTTTGTTGTTCACGTTTAGAACATAAAACCATTGCCGTAATATGACTAAACACCTATAGAAATAAACAAAATAAAAACTTTTTTTAGATATTGTATAAAGAGAAAATTTTTTTATAAACTAATCTATATTACTAAAAATGACATTAAAATAGTTATACTAAAAAAGACATATCACTTGCACATCCTTCGCATTTTAAAATCATAAATTTAAACAGTTTTACTTAGATAACTAAAATTCATTCAAAGTTTTTGTTATAGCTAAAGTTATCGTTTAGCTATTGTGTTTATGAAGACAAGTGACTTATAATTTCGATTATTATTGTTATTATAATTACTATTATAATTGTTATTGTTGTTTTTTTTGTTTTTTTTTAATTATTATTATTGTGGTTCTTATGTTTATTACTATAAATATTATTTTTTTATTATTATCATAACTATTCTTATAACTATTACTAATTATATATATAAAGATCTGTATTTTTGGTGTTTACTTAAGATTAGTAGAATTATTATTTGTAAATATCCATTAAATTTTTTTTTTTTTTTCAGAATATATATGATTGTTATACTGAGCTATCTCCTTGTCACAACTCTGATTTGGTAGAGTGATACTAAATAATAAATCATTTAATTTTATCTTACTATAGCACAAACAGTAAACAATCAGGGATCAAAATTGAAGCCAAGATGTATTGAATAATATATTTTGTAACTAGTAAGTGACAAAAGACTCATTTAAGTATGGAGTTTTTTACAACCTTTGTCCTAGCTCCAGCTAGTAATAATAATATTAACAGGGGTTTTAACCCAGGGCAACAAATCAAATATTATAATGTGAATTATAACAAATCAAATGCTACTTACTAATTACAAAATATTCATTACAAAAACTTTCTTTATCAATAACTTTGACTATTATCTATCTACAAATTCTGTCAGTGCATGCAAAATGAAAACAAATTATAATCCCATTTCTCTGTAAGTCTCTCTATTCTAAATTTATAATTTTACTAAACATTTAATTTTTATAATTAGTAACATAAATACAAAATATTTAAATTTATGTCTTTAAAATAATAAGCTAAAAAAACATAAAATATTATTTTTACAACATTATAATTTCCATATTCTAACATAAAAATTATCAAATGTTGTAGTCATTAGAAAATTTCCATGGTAGACACATAAACTTATGTAAGACACATAAACTTATTAAGACACATAGACTGATGTAAGACACATAGACTTATGTAAGACACATAGACTTATGTAAGACACATAAACTTATGTAAGACACATAAACTTATTGAGACACATAGACTTATGTAAGACACATAGACTTATGTAAGACACATAAACTTATGTAAGACACATAAACTTATGTAAGACACATAAACTTATGTAAGACACATAAACTTATGTAAGACACATAAACTTATGTAAGACACAGACTTATTTAGACACATAGACTTAAAACAGCTACATACTTAACAACTAAACACTTAAACAATTCAACATTTTTCTTTAGAAGTTTTTATAATTATTAGAGGTTCTTAACTATATGAAACTTTTTAAATTGTAGTTAAAGATTATCTAATAAATAATATTTATTTATATAATAAATATTACTTATTATATTTAGTAAAAAATATTAGTTGTAAATTATATATCAGAAATAAAACATTGTATTGTCAGAAAAAAATAACAGGAACAGAAAGTTTTAGAAACTTTGAACTGTTCAAAAAGTAAAAAAATAAACAGCAAAATTTGACTACAAAAACAGTTGTTAAAAAATACCTGTTCAATATTAAGGTTATCTTTTGCTGATGTTTCAAATACTTCAACTCCCATTTGAGCGGCAAAAGTTTTTGCATCTTGAGTATCAACAACTTTATTCTTTAAACAATCATTTTTATTACCAACTGAAAAATTATCATTTTACCATTAATATTTTTTGAACAATTTAATAATTTAAAACTATTAACTTAACAACTATTAAAAAAAAAATTTTACGGCTAAAAAACCAACCTAAGACTTTGTTTACTACATCACAATTCTGGTCTATTTCATGAAGCCATCTTTTAACATTGACAAAAGATTCAGCATTAGTCACATCATAAACAACAATTACACCATGAGTGCCTCGATAATAACTAACAAATCATACATATTTAATAAATTATATATAAAATATAATTCATTTAATAATATATATTTAGAAACATAATTATTTAAGTAAATTATATTTTCAAACATCTATTTAAAACAATATCTACTCTCCATTGTGAAGTGTAATGATAAACTTGTATTAAACAAAAAAAGAAAAAAGAGACCAAATACACCAGTAAAAAATACAACATTTATTTTGGGGTAACAGTGTTTAGCATCTAAGGCAATTTTTTATTGAATCTTACTAAACAACTTTAGAATGATTAAATGTTATTTGTACAGCAATGTCATGTTTTTTTATTTTATAATACACAACAAAGCTATTTACTATTTTGTTACTTATTTTACTGATTTTCTAAAAAATTAATCTGTTTAATATTATCCTTCTAATATTAAAAGTTAATTTAAGTGCACACCCATTAAGATTGCATGTTTATTAAAGATTCTTTTATCTACCATAATTATATTTAAATATTTATTTTTAGATTAACATTAAATGTTATTATTTATTTAGATGCCACAAAACAAAAAAATTAAAAGAGCTGACGATACTTTTCTGGCGATAAAAATAAATTTTACAATTCCCAACAACTAACTCTAATACACAAGAAAATTCTTCAGTACTACAACTTTTTGAGAAAACCAATATCTGAAGTAAAACTGAGTGTTATTGTAGGATGTTTAAATAAAAATAGGTTGTTTAAACCAAAATGTCCAACTGGTCAGGTATAAAAAATAATTGTCAAAGAACTTACTGAAGGAAAACAGTTTTTAAAGGGTTAGCTTTTCTTGCTAAGATTAAAGGACAAACTGAGTCTTTTAATCTATATAGACAAACCTGGAATACCAAACTCAGTTTGGAAGAACTGCTCTTTAACTCTATTCTTTGTTTTCTAGTAACTCCCAACATAATAGTGGTTGTTTTGGAGTCTTGTTGGGAGTGAATTAAAACAAAAAAACTTGATTCAGGTTCTGGAGAACACCAAAAAGAAGCTATAGAAGAACTCAAATCTAACTTTGGACTAGGGGATCAAGTTCAGTGACTTTTTTGATACCATTAATGCTAATACAGGGAAAGCAAAAGGAGCTTGAGAGCCATGTTACCTTTTTTTGAGAACTTTATTCAAACAGTTATACTTTTGGACCAGAGAATAAACAATTTAAAGTTTATTGGAATGACTTGTATACTGAACATCAATGTTTAAAAAGATTGGTAATTTCTACTGATTCCTGGAATAATAAACATAGGCTGAGTACTATTCAATTTTTCAGATATATAATTAGCAATAAGGTTTTTAAGAAGGTGAGTAATCAAGGTTTTATAAATTATTTCAATAAAATCTAATTGGTCACTATTTCCAGAAAAACTTAGTAAAAATTTTGCTTTTTTTTTTTTTTGCTCAATTTCCTAATTTTATTTGAATAATAATTTTGTTTTAAGTTATTTAAGCTCATCATAACTTAGTATAATATTTTTGTTTGGAAATTGTCAGGATTTAGCAAAACTTATTTGATGGTACTTTCAACCAGCGACTGGTTAAAATTTCACAATCGTTTTCAAAATCTGTTCATCATGCCAGATTTATGAATCTGGCATGTTTATTTTACTCAAAACTGTTTTTGCTCATAAACAAAATTCCTTAATAACCAAAACCAATAAAGAAAGCAGGGATAAAATCACTGAAATTACAAAATTTCTTTTCATTTTTTACACTGGATGGTTTCTTAGAGCTGAGCTCTAAGAAACCATCTAGTGTAAATAGTCTGACAAATTGTTTCACAATAAATATTTGAGTATTCAACTTGAAAGCTGAGGCTCAGAGGTGTTTCTAAATCTGCACTGAGACATACCTTGATTGCTTCAACTACCTCAATTCATATTTAGTCATAATAGCAATTGCAGATCAGAAATGTAAAGAATGAGGCAACATAGCTAAGAGACTTTTTGATCTAAAGTGAGTACCTATTGAGGAGTATTCCTTAGAAAGATAGATGTTGGATAATGAGCTTTTCACAGAATGAGGCTTCCAGCTTAGTTCTACTAGTTACAGAGAAATATTGGCTCGTGTTTGCAATTGGTCATGCAAAGCTGAGATTCAATAGATGAAATTTTCTTCAGAGTATTGGGTTTTAAACGACTTCTATCAAAAGCTTGAAACAGCTTCACAAATCTTGATGTTATAAATGATTTTTCAGATAGAGCAGTAAAATTAGTTCTTCTTAGTTCTTATCAGAAACTTCTTAACAAATTACATTCAGAAGAAAAAAAGCAAGATATATTTCTTTTTTATTCATGTGTACTAGCGAAATCATACCGGTAGAAAAATGCCAATGCTGCATTCATTAGCCATGTTTAGTGGTACATTCCATCCATATTTAGTATCTATTTGTGTATCCTAACTTTTTAAAAACTTGTCAATTTTTGATTTTTGTTTTGTAGTAGTAAAGTTTTTTTTTTATTGCATACAAAAAATATGGTTTTTAAACAAACATTTTATTGTTTGGGTAATTTTCAATATTTTTTCATTGTTATAAAAAGTACTTAAAACAATGTAAAATTGCAGAGACAAGTTGCATTCATATTTTGTTGCATTCATATTTTCGTTATCTTGCTCTACAATCTTCATCTTTTCTCTTCTAGTAACTTCCAACACTAATTAGTGGTTGTTTGCAGCCTTGTTGGAAGTGAAGATGTTTAAAAAAAAAAAAACTTATTTTCTATGGTTTAAGATATAAACATAACTTGTCTCAGCATATTGAAGAAATATTTTAAGAAAGAGCACCTTAAACTTATAGATTAAAACTCATTACTATTTTGTTGGACTGTTTATTTTTCAAATTAGATATAATTAGGGTCCAAGAGCAAGTTAAAGTTTTCCTAAAAATAGGTAAAAAATTTATCATTTTACCTTTAATGAGAACCTTTCTGTTGTTCAAAAAAAAAATTAAAAAAATTCTATGTACTTGTTTATAGTCTGAACAGATCATATTATGATCTCACTAAAGCATACCGCTTCTACACAACCACATAATTTTAATTTTCATCATATAACTGACTGGGATTCATTTGAAGATTTTATTCTTGATAGACTTTGGATGTCTTTCATTACTCTGTGTCAGCATTGTCTTGATGTCTTTCATTGTCTTGATGTCTTTCATTACTCTGCTCATAATTTTGCTTTTATTCTCCAGACAGGCATAAAAGTTTTTTCTTGTTGGTTTTCAAATGACAATATCTTAACAAGAAGAATATAACCAAACAGACAATAATCAACAAGAAGAAGACAAGCCTGACTTTTACCTACTCTAAAAGACAAGTCTAACATTCCATCTCAAATACTTGAGTCTTGTTTAACTGTCTCTCCCTAGAATAATGCAGAACTGTTTGCAAAGAACTTTTCCACTAATTTATCTTTTGAACCTGACCGCACTCTTGTCATCCCAAAGAAACAGATTAATCCAATCTTAGACTATGTTGCTTCCAGGGCTCAAGTTATTTCACACCTAAATTTTTCTACAGCTTGCAATTAAAATAACATTCCTGTCGTTTATACAAAGTCTTTGAACTATTTAACAAGTGCTTAACTGAACCTTATTTTTCCTGCCTGCAGGAAAATAGTACAAGTAGTTCTAATTTTTAAAAACTATAAAGATTGCTCTGACCCCCTCTAACTATCGTCCAAACTGTTTTTTTACTATTAATAGTTAAGTTTTGGATCCTTAATTAATAAACTTCTAATATTGGTATCTTATAACTTACTCTCTTACAACTCTCTGACAATAAATATGGATTTCATTCCTCTCTATAGTGATTTTTTCAACTATTATAACAGAAAGGTTCTCATTAAATATTCAAGATTTTATAGCCTGCATGATGGTCATCTTTATATGCTTACTTGATATGGTGACTCTGGGAATATTTTTAAAACTATTGATCATTACTATTCTTTTCAAACCACAGTAATAAAGTATCTGACCAAAATTCAGAAATCTGACTAAAATTTTGCTGGATTTGCTAACTTTTGCTGGAGCCGGATTTTAGCTGGATTTGTAAAATTGGCCGGATTTCAGCTGGAGCTGGAGCTGAAATCCGGTACAGCCCTAAGTCTTTTATATCTTTTTAGTTTCTCTTTTTTTTTAAATTGATTACATGTCTAATAAGGACACTAAATACATTTTTCAATATCTTTCAGAAAAGTAGAACTAAATTATTATTATAATTTTAAACAATTTTATTTAAGTTATTATGAGATTAAAATTAAAATTAAACTTGAAAAAAAAAAAAACTTAAACTTGGATAAAAAAAACTTACGTAGAAGTTATTGTTCTAAACCTTTCCTGTCCTGCAGTGTCCCAGATTTGTAATTTGACTTTTTCACCATCAATATTAATTGTTCTAATTTTGAAATCAACGCCAATTGTTGTTATATAAGATCCTAAAAAAAACCTTTAAATCTTAATTGCATCAAATTGTTTACTTTTTGTAAATATGTGATTGTTTGCATAATAGATAAGATTAAATTAAGAGACAAACCTTCAGAATAAGTCATATAATATTAAATAGTGTAATATAATAAATATATATATATATAAATGTATATATATAAATATATATATACATATATATATATATATATATATATATATATATATATATATATATATATATATATATATATATATATATATATATATATATATATATATATATATATATATATATATATATATATATATATATATATATATATATATATATATATATATAATATTAAATGGTGTACAGGCCTTTTTGTAGAATCGCACACATTATATAACCACAAATGTAATACTTTGTTTTGATAACTGGGCCAAGGCTCTTTGCAAGTTTTGCAAAATTTGTTTAAAAAATGTACTGAATAAACACATGTAAACTTAAACTAAATTAATTAAAAATAAACAAACCATAAACTGAAAAGAGAAATAATAATAATAAAAAAAAAAATACAATACTAAACAAAACAAAAATCTTAACAAATGATAAAATAAATAAAGAGATAAACAGAAAAATAAAAGCATTAAACTAATAAATGTCTTTATTTTAACTTAAAAGTGTTTCACTTCATAGAATTTAGAAAAGATCATAATTTCAAAGTTATTAATTCTATGTTTAATTACTTCACAATTTAATTATTTAAAAATTTGAAACTAATATTTTCTGTCTATTAAGCAAAAAAAATATTAAAAAAATTTTTCCCATTAAAAAGATTCTAAACACCAAACAAACAGTGGGGCCTCATAAATATAACATTAAATCAACCAAAGCGCTACACTAACGTAGTGATATTGGAAAAATTATTAAGTTTAAACTATTAATTGTGACGGTTTTAAATCAAATTAATTAATAGGTTGAACTATTAATTGAGATGCCTATAAATTAGAAAATATATTAATTCTTTATTTTTATTTTTACTGGTTTATCTTTTGTTTTATTATTCATTAAGATTTTGTTTTTCTTTTCAGTTTATGGTTTGTTTATTTTTGCCTTTTTCTTCGGTTTAATTGGGTTTTTTCAGCACATTTTTAAAGCAAACAAATTATCAAAACATCCAAAGTGCCATAACCATGTTTTCAAAACAAAATAATATATGCATTATATATTATTTTGTTTTGACAACATGGTTATTTTCAAGGAATATGGTTAATCGCCATATTCCTTAAAGTATTGGACTCAACTTGAGCGCCTCTAGTTGAATTTTCTTTCTAAACTTGAAATTTTTTTTTTGTTATAGAACAAGAGTTCTCTGATATAATATCACTACAACAAAGTTTTATACTCAGAAATAAGCTTTTTACCTTCAAATCCAATATTTGCATTTTTTTAACATCTTTTTTAGAAATCAAGTATAGTTTAAAAAATGTCTTCATTGGTTTCCATTAAATTTATTAAATGTGTGAACTGCTAATACTAAATTTGTTCGGCTAGTTGCTAACTTTTAAAGGTATGCTTTGAATAAGAATAGTTATTAAACAATCAAATAGCAATCAGATTTAATTGGCAATTCCAAGAACTATTTACTGTTTCATGAATGAAAACTCTTATTTAGTTGTAAGGAAGCACAGGCGCCATAGATAGGACACTTTCAGGCATTGTAAAAACTCCAAATTTAAGCATGCTCATGCCTATATCAAATAAGAATGTTTTTCGAAAAAAAAAAAAAAAAAAAAAAAAAACGGCGATGGAAGCTTAGAAATAAAAGCACTTTAAAACATTTGACTTCCCTACCCAAACATGAGAATAGTGAGTTAATGTAATATTAAACTTTATTATTTTATACAAAATTTATATTCATGAACAGATTTTAACCCTAAGGTTTGGGTAGAAGGGGCTAGCATTTTGGGGTATTTTTATTCCCAGCTTCCATCACAAATTTTTGCAAAAAATTCTCATTTGAGATAAGCATAAGCATACTTAAATTTGAAGTTTGCATAGTAAACGACAGGGGTTGATATTTGACCAAGGCTGGGGCCGGGTTTGATAAAATATAGCCCAGGCAGGGGCCAGGTTTGTGACTGGGGCTGCATAAACATTTATACATCCTGAAGTACATTTTTTTTTCAAAATTTATGTTTGGTTTTGTATATATATTATAAACATTATTATGATCAACATGATCATGATCATCATAATCATCATGATCTTCACCATAATAGCCATCATCATTATCATTATTGTCATCATCATTAGCAGCAGCAGGCTATAACCTTCCTCTTTTATGATGTTTCTCTAATCATGGTTAATGCTCAAATGAGCTATCATCTCTATTACAATAAACCAAAACTCATTCTTGCTTGGCTTCTTATTCAACAAGTTGCATCCTTTTACTGTATCTGTCCTTATTTATTAAATACTGACATAAATATATGCTAGAATTTAACAAATAGTAAATGTAAGTATAAAATTATAATAAATAAAAAATTACAAATTTATTTTTAGACCTAGCTATCAAACCCTGTTAAATATTACAATTTTGCCGAGGCTGGGGCCGGATTTGAAAAAAGTCTTATTTCTAGCCAAGGCCCAGGTCACTTACTAAGTTTGCACAATGCTGTCATATCGTTTATAAATGGAAACATATGAGCATAAATAGTCATGTTTCCCATATGATTATATATGGTCATATTGGAAAAATTGTTAATGTGACATAATCACATTGGAAACATTTTTCAATGTTTCCCATATGACTATATTGGTCGCCCATGTAAGGAAGATCTAGCAGAGACAGAGATTTATACAACTTTTGTAACTTGCTTCACACTTAGACCTTTCTAATAACAATATAATTTTTTTTCTATTTTTATGCTTAATATCCATGGTTCCACACTTGTGTGATTAAGAAGAATTTTTATTTATATTTTAATATAAAGAAGTTTCTAATCATCTTGTTACAGATTAGTGCAGAAGAGCATTTAAAAAGGAAGTTCAGGCTATATATGTGAAATCAGTAAGAACACCCTCCTTAATGATGTCATATATAGACAGAGCAGACATAAAGCACTAAACCTCTTGATTCTGAGGCTAGAACTCTAACCACTTCACCACAACTGCTTTACATAATGCCATTTTCTAATTTAAAGAAATTAGAAAAATTAGATTTACTCAATTTAGTTTTATAACTAAATTGAGTAGATCTAATTTTTCTAATTTCTTTAAATTAGAAAATGGCATTATGTAAAAACATTAACCCCCAGACACACTATTTTTACCTCCCAAAGAAAACATATAGCCCGTTTTCTATAAATAAAAAATGTTTATATTTCTGTTTTAAATGGAAAACCAATAACTTGTTTGATAAAAAAAAAACATTTTAAAAACAGTTGAAATCAGCAAATTGATCTTTGAAAAAAATATAAAAACTAATACTAAACATTAAGAATGCCAAAACATTAAAAAACTCAAAAGAATAACCAACATTTAAAATATATAACTAAAAAGGCAATAATAATTTGCATTTCATACTTCATACCTCACTCAAAACTTTTTCCTGCTCCTTAAGTCCTAACACTACTTGGTTCAACAACATTATTACATTACTTTCATTCCTTTTGTTTTAAACTCATAAAGCTTTAATCAAGTGAAAATCTTTAAAAAGATGGAATCATTAAATCTTTTAAAAGATGGAACCATTAAATCTTTAAAGAGATGGAATCATTGAGGTGTCTCTCTGTTATCTCTCTAAACTTTTTTGTAACAAACTAGCAATGTAACCAAAAAAAATTTAATTTAGTAAAAGATAATTTATCTTTAGTTCAGTGACAGTTAGATAATCAGCTCTTATGGCAGGAGAACCACGGAAATGGTTGCAAAGTTTGCTTTCATTAACTTTCTTGATTGCCAATTTTAAAAGCAACTCTTTATTTTAAGAAGTTTAGGTAGCTCTTGTTACTCAGGTACTTTTCAATAAGATCAAGAATTTATTTTAGGCCATCTGTACACAGTTTTTGTCAGATGAATTAACCAGTTTATTTTAGGCCATCTGTACACAGTTTTTGTCAGATTTATGCAATTAACCATTGCCAAAGATGTGCTCATACTTTTAAGTAATTTTTTTGCAGGGGGTAGCACAAAAATTGAGAATTGAAGTAGTTGTATTCAACATGATTTAGATGACAATTTTGAAAAGAATCATTTAGGCTTTCATCAAATGAAAAGATATAAAAATAAGATTTCCTGATACTATTTTTTAAAATTATGTGTAAGCAATGCCCAAACCAAAATTAATAACTACTTATCTATCCATCTCATAAGATTTAACAGTTGTGTTATCAGGAAACATTTTTTAATATAGTAGATCATTCTTATTACACAAGTTTAATGAAAAAATTTGCATTTTTGTACTGCATGCAAAAGAAATTTCTGCACAAGTTTTATAAGACTAATCTACTATAAGAACTCCTTGGTTTTTAGATGTTGGCTGCGCAGGTTTGAAGTACCAAGATACTGGTTTTGACTTTCTGAACATGTTTTTTCTCTCCATGTGACTTGTCACAGCTCTCTGATCTGTATTTGATAAGTTGAATTTAACTCAGCATATTTTGCACTTGACTGACTTTTTATCTCTGTTATTTACTAGTCATTTTTTAAACAATCAATCACATCTGACAAAATACACAGTTTTTGTCAGATGAATTAACCAGTTTATTTTAGGCCATCTGTACACAGTTTTTGTCAGATTTATGCAATTAACCATTGCCAAAGATGTGCTCATACTTTTAAGTAATTTTTTTGCAGGGGGTAGCACAAAAATTGAGAATTGAAGTAGTTGTATTCAACATGATTTAGATGACAATTTTGAAAAGAATCATTCAGGCTTTCATCAAATGAAAAGATATAAAAATAAGATTTCCTGATACTATTTTTTAAAATTATGTGTAAGCAATGCCCAAACCAAAATTAATAACTACTTATCTATCCATCTCATAAGATTTAACAGTTGTGTTATCAGGAAACATTTTTTAATATAGTAGATCATTCTTATTACACAAGTTTAATGAAAAAATTTGCATTTTTGTACTGCATGCAAAAGAAATTTCTGCACAAGTTTTATAAGACTAATCTACTATAAGAACTCCTTGGTTTTTAGATGTTGGCTGCGCAGGTTTGAAGTACCAAGATACTGGTTTTGACTTTCTGAACATGTTTTTTCTCTCCATGTGACTTGTCACAGCTCTCTGATCTGTATTTGATAAGTTGAATTTAACTCAGCATATTTTGCACTTGACTGACTTTTTATCTCTGTTATTTACTAGTCATTTTTTAAACAATCAATCACTCAACATTCTTCATTGAAATAAACTGTCATTTACAAATTTAAATTTTTATTAATATAAAAAAAGAGAATGAAAACACAATATGGTTTAATAAAGCTTTGAAAGTCTTCACTTGTTGCAGCTATTTCTACACAAAAGAATTAAATTATTAATAATTGTTCCACTCAAACCTACAAAAAATGTTTTGCATAAACTTTCCTTTGGTTTATACAGTAAATAAATTACCAAAATAAAAGTTAATTTTTTTATAATGATCAAATATAACATATTTAAACAATCTTTTGAGTTTTTGATAACTATTTAATTAATTAACTCTAAAATAGGGTGACCATTGTCCTGGTTTTTATGCAGGAGAGCGCAGCGCTAAACTAATTAATAATAGCTTAACGCTGCGCTTTCCTACCTACAAACCCGGACAATGGTCACTCTACTCTAAAATGAATATTATTTACTATAAAATATTTAAAACAGTTAAATATGGTACCAAATTATAAAAATCCCTGATTTTCCCTGACTTTTAACTAAATCAATTTTTTTTCCATGATATCTAAATTTTCCTAACTTTCCCTGAATTCCCTGATTTGGTGACAATCCTGCATTAAAAAAGAGTTAAAATAGCTTTTTGAAGTGGATCTCCTTCTTTGCATTAACTTGTTTTGAAGATCAGGACTGGATACATGAAGTGTTTTATTACAACTTGAAAGATTACTATCTAAAGTTTAGGAGCTATTATACAAATAAATACCTACAATTAAGTTAATTAAGGGTTTTATATTTTAACTATTCTTCTCCTAGGTTGCCTTCACAATGACTAAGTGGTATGATACAGTAATTTGTATTTGATAATAGTAAGTTTGTAAAGATTTTAAATTTGACTTTCTCCGGCTATGTTGATGATCCTGGTTTAATTTTCATAGATTTTATAATCTAATAAATGAAAATAATTTAATCAATTACTTCAAGTTAAGACAATGCCATATGTAAAGTAAGTGCTCAAATAGCAAAGTTATTGGTATAGATATTTAACTTAAAATATAAAATATATTCCAAATACTATTAAAATTTCTTAACAAATACCTGAGAACATATCGTCAGCAAACCTTAGCAATATGCTACTTTTTCCAACACCTAAAAGTAAATGGTTAAAAAGCAATTTTAGAAATTAGGTTAAAAATATATTAACTGATCCTATAAGATTGTTAACTACTTCAAGTAAAAATAAAAAAAATTACCACTATCTCCTATTATTAGCAGCTTGAAAAGATGATCATAGTCCCGTGCCATAATAAACTTGATGATATAATATAATTGAAAAATAATAAGATAATTTAAGAACTTAAGAAATAGTACTCTGTATTTCTGTTATTTATAAATCTGTTTTTTTTCCTTTAATTTTACACACTATCACCATCTTTTAACATCGCCGCAATAACTACGACCTACTTCGCAACACAATAACACTTTTTTTTTAGGTTCGTCTGAACTTTGTTAATCTCAATATTACAACACAATGTCTATTCACTTTCAATGTATGAAAACTGTTTATGTATTATATTAAATCTAAAAAAGATGAAAAAGAGGATTGAAAAGCTGAATGTACTCAAACCAGTAGCGGATTGAAGTCTTAGGCTAGGGGAGGTGAGCATTGAGAAAGAAAACCGGGAGTAAAGGGTTACGAGGGGTGATGGGTGTATGGGTGGGGTTAATATTTAGAATATATTTTCTATCTGCAGCAATGACGTGCAGAAATTTTTTTTGAGGGTTGCTCATACGATTATTATATTTTTTTATGTTTAAATATAACTTTTACCCTTACTGTTACGTTCACCTAAAGTACTAAAACTTTAAGTTTACTAAGTTTTTTTTTTAGATCACAATTATCTTTAATGAATTAATAAACATTTAATATTACTACAATGGTTTGGTATATAAAAATGTATTTTATAAAAATCATATAACTGAAGTCAGGCAATAAGGAAAAAATTTGTTTTCCTACTAGTTTATACAAATTGTTTTCTGCAAGATTTTAATAAACCAAAACAATTCGATTAAAATTAATGCCAATCCAGATTGAAGTTCGTTTGTCATTGTTAATCGCAGATAATTTTTGATAATCATCTGTCATCGAAAACCTTTCTCAGCAGTAGCTGGTATAACAAGAAGAGCTAATTAGGTTAATTATAGTATTTAGGAATTCTTAGAGTTACGTGTTTCTCTGTCAAAAAATGATAGTGCAACTTTGATTTGTAGGTCAACTGTCAATGATGGAGAATTATTACTATTGTAACTATTATTATTGTTATTATTATTGTTATGAAGTCTAACTAATAAGCGGATAAGTGGATGATATTTAAATATGATATAATTTTACAGATACGATAAATTATAAGTTAGTATATGCAATGCAATTTTTTTATAACGGATATACAACGAATATAAGACAGGCAGGGGTGAATTTATAGCTTTTTTTTTATCTAAAACTGTTTGTGCATGCTCGAAAACATTTTTAGACGTAGAAATTACCAAAAAATCTGAGCTTATTGTGTTGAAAAGCAGAATGTTAAGAAACTAGCTTTTTGTAGACTTTTCTATATTTTAATTTAATTTTTTTTTTTTCTTAACGTAATGGTTAGGTAGTCATTCATAAAGTACTTAGGCAGGTATTGAGAAGAGGTTGCACAAAAGTGAATAAGTGTATCCAAATGAATGCCTGTTACGTGAGAGGTCTTGAAATTATATATATATATACAGGGCCGGCGCGAGTAGGTGTCACGTGGTGGTGGGGGAGGGGTGCCATTACATCTTTGCCGACTAAAAAAAAATTTTAAAAAGTTTTTTAAAATTTCCCGACTGCCATGACGACACTTGCCGACTGACTGTCTAAGTTTACCGACTAACATGTACATTTGCTGAATAACTAGTCAGAAAGGGCCAAATTTGCCGACTAAATAAACGAAAAAATTATTGATGGGGGGGGGGGGGGGCAAACATCATCATCGTGCCGGCCTTGTATATATATATATATATATATATATATATATATATATATATATATATATATATATATATATATATATATATATATACATACATATATATATATACATACATACATACATATATATATATATATATATATATATATATATATATATATATATATATATTTATATAACAGGATTTTTTTAAAGCTTCTTGATAAGGAGGAATACATTCTTTAAAATTCGATTCACTTGACGATAATAATCTTAATTAAATAGTCTTAGGAATACTTTTTATTCTAATTGTAATTTTAACGTTTAATTTTTAATTCTTTATATATATGGCTGTAATATACGGCTGGTGATTGCCGTTAGGCATGAAATTTAAAGTTCCATAATAAAAGTTTTTTCTTTTTCATTTTTAATTACAAACCGTTCTGTTTTGAAATTTATATATAATCAGAACAAATTTCATAAATATTTGCACTTTTCAACGAACAAGAGTTTTGCATTATTTTAATACAACACTACATCAAATGATATATATATATATATATATATATATATATATATATATATATATATATATATATATATATATATATATATATATATATATATATATATATATATATATATATATATATATATATATATATATTCTAGATAAAAAAGGTTGTAAAAAGTTTCTTATTAGTTATAAAATACAGTGGCAAGGGTAGCAAGGGCTCTTTTAAAAATTTTTGGTAAAGTTTTTGTTTCTTTTTTAATGACTTAATGAGTCCTTTCGTCATCCACGGACTAAGCAAATTTTTAGAATTAATAATTTTTTTAACTTTTGGAAAGACTTTTTCGTATTGCTTAGTAAACACGCGAGTAAAAAAATCATAGCCATTATTTATATCATTGCAATCAGTCAATAGTTCCCAGTTTATTTCTTGTAAGTTCATACACATTTATAAAAATCCAAAATATATGTAAGAATCCCAGTGCTCATTTGCCCCATTTGGGGCAATTGAGTCAAAGGTAATGAAATTTTTTTAAAAGTTAAAAAAATAAACTTTTTAATTAAAGAACGAGAGCTTTTTATATTTTAAGAGCAAACAAGTTCATATACATTTATAAAAATTCTAATTTTTCGGGAAGAAATGACTTGGTAAATCAGGGGTGTGGTTTGGAAAAAAAAAGTAACGACTCCGACTCCGACTCCAGTGGTTGAAATTTTTTGAGTACAACTCCGACTCCGACTCCGACTCCAACTCCAACTCCGACTCTATCTCTAAAACAAAATATTTGAAAAACTCTTTGAATTCTTTAAAAAAATTAACGCAGTAAGTTTAAAAAATTTGTTTTAAAAAATTTATGAAACGTTCTTTGAGGTTTATTATGAACATAAGGTTAATTGAATGTTTTGTACACGCACTTGCAATACCGAGAAGTTTTACTATTGGAGTCGGAGTCGGAGTCCCGATTTTGTTTAATGACTCCGACTCCGACTTTGCTAAAAATGTCGTAACTCTGCAACTCCAACTCCGACTCCAACTCCACAGCCCTGTTGTAAATCATAGAAATGCAATGCCTTGCTTTCTCCAACTGGAGACGTATTTATGGGGGAGCCAGGGAGGCTTTTGCCCCAGGCGCCAAGTTTAGATAGGGCGGCAGCTGTCAGAATGGTAAAATCTTAAAAGTTGTTAAATAGTTATCTTATTTCATTATCATGAAAATTTTTATATTATTATCATGTCCAAATCATATATCAACTCATAGGCCTACTTAATACCCAACTATTTGCTTTTCTGCTTACGGGCGAGTATTTTTTTTTAAATTACCATTGGAAATTCATATTTATAAAATTTATAAATGTGTATGGTTGGCAGAAGAAAGTTAAAGTCATTTAAAATGCGATCAAAGTCCACTTGCAAATTATACACATCTATGCGCGAATTGTTAATGCGAAAACGTTGATTTGGTAAAAAAAAGTCACGTTGCTCAGTTTGATCCTTTTTTAGGAGGATACTATATTTTTTAGAAGATTGTACCTCTAAAAACTTTTAATATATATGAGCAGTTTATAGAAATAACGGCAGATAATTTTATACAACAAATGGTTTATAAAAGTTTATGCCATTACAATACAAAAAAACTAAATATTTTTTCAACAGTGTTGATTCTACTTCTGATATAAGCCATGTAGATTAACTGTATTCATTTTTCGGTATGTTCAAAAAAACGGCTGTCCGGTAGAAAGATTTTTAGGCTTTTACCTAACTCTGGTCGTAAATCTAAAGAATTATATGGTGGTATATTTTTAGTTTAGAACAGCATGAATTAGATATAAACAATTGCCGTAATTACAACAATGCATCTAACATGTCTGGTAGGTATGCAGGATTTTAAGCTCGCATTAAAGAAGTTAACCCTTTAGCAACATTTGTATCATGCTTGGCACACTCTTTAAATGTTATTGGTGAATGTGCTATGGACTGTTGTAGAAATGCTTCCGAAGCTTCTTTTTATTTTGCTTCAAAATATATATAAGTGTTTCAGTGCTTTTAAATATAAATAGAAAATACTTCAGAACAATTGAACTAAAACAGAAAACGTTTCACCTAAAAAACTATCAGATACCAGGTGGTCAGCAAGATCTGATGCAAGTATTAGTTTAAACAGAAATTGGAATGAAATAATTAATGCACTGTCTTTTATTTAAGAGGATAAATTACAAAAGTCAATCACAAGATCAGAGCAATCAATAAATCGGGAAAACATATCGAAAAATACGCAAAAGAAAAAGAAAACTAACTGCAGATAAAAAAAGAAAAGAATAAATAAATTATGAAAGTTGAGACTCTTTAAGGATTAATACATATTATGCTATAATTGATAAACTACATTCTTAACTAGAAAGAAAAAATTGTGTCATAATAAAGCCAATAAAAAAATTAACCTCGTATTTTAAATAATAAACCATCACCATCAGAAGTTTACAAAAAAGCAAAAATACTTCAATATATATACATAAAAAAAATCTTTCGACTTCATTTGCTAACGAGTGTACACAATTCAGAAGTTATTTAATGAGTTTCATTGAAAACATAAGACCTAAAACTATAATAGATATTTGTAAAATAATCAGAACTGATTAACTTCAATAACTATATAACTATCCTTAATGCTATATTTACAATAAGTAGATATAACATTAAAAATATATCTTTGCTGCACAACGTCAAATTGTTCAGCCAAGAAATCATTTTCAACATTGAAGAAGGTTAAGTCTTATCTGAAGTTGGGGATGAGGTTGGTGATTGTCTTGATAGGTTAGCAATTCTATATACTTAATGACCTTATAAATACATTTTCAAAACAAAACTTACGTAGAAAACTATACATATTTTTTTAATGATAAGTGAGTCTGACTTAATATATATGTTTGTATTGAAAATATATACAGTAGCATCAAATTTTTCAACAATATTTGATCACAAATTTATATAAAAGCAAAATCACATTAGTGTTTTGTAGGGTATCCTTTACAATAAAAATTGGCTTGG